CTTGTCTGTACATTTTTTAAAAATCAAATCCGGAACATTCTGAGACCTTGGCGGATGCGGTCACTCGTAACAGGAGAAAAAACACCCAAAATAGATTACGATTGCATAAAGCAAATCCAACTCCTTCAAACCTTCAAAAAAAGAGTGTACTCCTTCCTAAAAGGCCGGCGACGCGTTTGTGACTTCTAAGTCGCAGACGTTCATGGGCGGCGATGATCACTTTTCATCAGGTGACCCGTCTGCTTGTCTGCTCCCTCTAACATAAATAATAGTATTTACTGCATGACGCCAAAAAATTATAATAGCTTACCCGATGAACCAAAAATCTTAAATAGTAATCTTTTAAAAAAACGTTTACATTACTTTCTAGTCAGTAAAACCTATTATAAAATTAGTGATTTTCTCGAAGGTAAATAATATAGCTAGAGAAACAAATTTATCTTCTGGAGATACAAATTATTTTATACATGATTGATATTTTTATTATTAATTTGTAGATTATTATAATTCTCTTATTTATTTATTAATCATGGACTGCTGCAGTTCAGAAGGATTGTCTCTTAATATTTTATCACGTTGACATCGTAAAGTAGAACAACCACATAAAAGACACATTCGTGTGACCTTGTGCACTAGGTCCAGCTTGTTGTTCGTTACTGCCAGATTCTTCTTGCTGCAAATTTTAGTTCACTCTGACCATAGCAAGATCTCTACATGCTTCACACACATAAGCTTCATCAGTAATCTGAAAAGCCATTAAGGTATCGTAATCTGAAAGCACAGGTCTACAGGTTTCTATTAATCAAGCAATATGTAATGGTTGACACTTAAAGAATGGTTTAACACATTGAATGTTTTTAGCATGACCCAACTGCAGTCGAAACCAAATATTACAACATCATTTATAACAACAGATTGGTTATTAAGAAAGAATGGCAAGGTCCCCCCCGAATATATAAACAATTAAGTAAACATGCTGCCTATAACAACATGGGATACAGCAACATATTGCTTAAAACGAACTTAAAAAGACACCTCTGTGGTTTGTTTCGGTGTTTCTTCCCAGAGTGAGTCTTAGGAAATGCCGGCTCCTTCTAGCTATAAAGTCCGACTTGTAAAAATATCTGAAAAGATTTACTTACAGAAATAAATATCATTTATCATTTAAAACAACAAAACTTTAATGATATTTATTGGCTGTAATGACCATACCATTTTACTTGTTCCAATAACCACAACAATATGAACAATTTTCAAACTTATTCTAATCTATAAGGGAATATTTAGACCTTTTTTTTATTTAACTTCAACTTCATTTTTTTAACATGACATTACATTCTTTGTCCCCCAAAACCGGGTTGAAGGTTTGCCCCTGCATATTTAGTGTGATAGGTGCCAGTGTGACTTAATTATTTGAAAATTAATTCTGATGATAATCAATGTTGACAAGAATGAAATGTTAAATACAAAACAGACCAAAATAACTGATTACTTTAAAAACAAGTGAATAAATAGTGCATAAGCTGTACTGTAGCTGCTGCAAGTTTTTTTAGAATAAATTTGTCATTTAAATAATTTTTTCAGAATAAATCAACATGTTCATTCCTTTTTACATTTTATTTGAAAACAAGATCATTAGTATAACCTATACCCATACTACATACACATTTAAAAAATTCTAGGCATACATATATGACAATATGGAACAACACTAACAAATCGAGCATAACATCTGAAGTTATATGGTTCCTTCAATATCGTTATATCCGGTTTCGACTGGTTTCAAACTTAAATGGAGTCCTTAAAAACCAATCAAAATAAGCCATTCCACGTTAAGATATGGAGCTACTTATGATTAAGGGATACACCCAGTTATATAGTAATTTGGTAAGTCTGCTATCGAGTTCCGAGGCTCGATACCGGCGCAGTGTATTGACGCATATTTTGCAATTGATGCACAGAATTCGGGTTGGCTTACTACGTCCTCGCATTTTAGCAGCAAACAACCAGAATTCAAAACGACATCCACAGAAAGGGGCAAGAAAGGGTATTCAATATAATAACAGTACTGTCACTCAGGCGAGTATCAGAGTCCTTAGGCATGCAGGGGAGATTACAGTGCAGTGCAATGTAGAGCAGACCGGGTCAAATACTTGAAAAAATCCGAAGAGGTTATCACCATTCACAAACACTCAACAACAAAACACAGAGCGCAAACGTCTGTCAAGTGTCACAGTTGTCAACTTTGTCATTGTCAAAAAAAACCTTTGCTTTTTTTAGCCTTGGATTTGAGACTTTTTGGCATTTGTCACTATACCACTAACTACACGTGTGCATCGCAAAATACCTTCATATTTAAAAACAGCTAGGTGGTTTTGCAACAGGATGATTCGGGTAAAAGTAGCAGTTTATGGCAAGTTATTCAAAAAGCCGGTTTATTAAAAAAACAGAGATCATTTTTTTTTTATGCAAAAGCAATAAATAGGAGGTTATGGTGTGAAAAAAAAAAGACGAAAATGAGAGTTGCTGTAGTCAAATTCCTTTTAAACTTTATGAGAAAACACACTTTTATCTTTAAAGAAATTGTGATTTTTTCACCCTTAATTTTCTCAGCTTGTATGACTCGTAGGAAATACTACTTCTTTAGTCTTTTAATCCTGGTTTTATGTTAAAATAATCGTTGCAAAATAATATTAAGTTTCCGCACAATTTGTTAAATAATCTCCCAGATGCATCACAGTGTAATGAAACGCAAAGAAAATCGAACGATTTTGCTTCAATGGATTGATTTTCTCATTCCGGAAAAATGGATTGATTTTCTTTATATAAGTGATTTAAGAAGAACATTGTAATACGCACGAGCCATAAAAACACTCGCTCGAACAGAATTCGCATACTCTCAAATATCTGTCCTGCATATGGACGAATGAAGCAACGCGTTAAATCACATCATTTACCTGACACATTCTCGATGCAAGAATGCAATTATATGAAAAAAAATGTATTGCATGTGAAAAAGTTTGTTATTAAATTATTTCCTTAGAGCGTATCGCTGAGTTCAATCCATTGCTAGCTAATCACGTGTAATGTGATCGATTATGGGAATCCTGGCACAGGATACGTGTTATCTCTCTTCTACAATATGCTATTTGAAGACTATTGTAACTGAAATATTAACAAATTAAGTAAATAACATGACGTTTCATTCGATGCCACCTGACGAGGTGATAAACGACGAGACGCCGTGAGCCTCATAGGTAATAAATTTAATAATAATATAATTTTCAGACATCTGACACACAACGCCATCTAGTTTCAAACTAAGCAGAGCTTGTACTATAAAAGCTAGATTGACTGATAGAATACTTAAATACACACATATATTACATGGAAATCACCCAAACTTCGAAACAAATATTTGCAGATCATATTTGGTCCAACCCGAGAATCAAACGCGAGACCTCAGCAAAGCAGTCGCATAAGCTACCATTGCGCCACTAAGGCAGTCGTGGTCCCAGGATTATGACAGCTAAACTAATTGTAATTAAGTTTAAACCGGATATGGCGGTATTGCCACCGTATGAGGTGGATGCTGAGTTCGCCATTTTTACATCTTGTCCTCCAGAAATCATGTACCCAGAATTGTTTTGCTTCAACATATCAGTTTATATTTGTCTTTCTTCATCTTCAATAAGAACTGTTAATAATAATAAATCCCAGTTAGTCAGAACACCACCACCAACTTTGTTTCCACTTAAAGCAAAATTTAATTGAATATTGAGTGGCATGACGCGTTATACCAAAGCGTCATTAGAAGAACGCGATGTTTTGCTCTGCGCGGATCCAAAGCCGTTGTGGCGTTATGCTTGACCGGGATTTAGTATTAATAGCAGTTCTGGCTGAAGATGACGAATAAATACAAACTGACACGTTGAACAAAAACATTAAAAGGAGGAATCACGACCGGAGTAATAACGGAAAACCGATGTTTGGTTGTGTAAGTGAGGTAACCGGGGTTAAACACTCCCGCCCCTGATGGGGGGGGGGGGGGTCATAATCCTGTGACCTACGTGGCTTGCGCCACACAGTGGGTTCCATATAATGAATACAGATGACATGCTGCGCCATCAAGTGGCATGAAACGTATATGATATGTATAATTGTATCCAAATAAAGTATTTCATTGAAACAAAAAGAACTTGATCAGAAATAAAAATCCATTATCATAACCTATCCATAACCTATACGAAAGGGGTGGCTGATGCCCTGCATGATGCCTGATGCATTCAGTAACTTCATATTCAAAAGCCAACTAACAAAATAAGAATTTTCTTTAAGATTTCGTAGCATTTGAAAAAGTTGTGTTGTGTTGCGTTCAGTATACCTGAACATTTTAATTTAAAAAATCATGCACAAGACCATTTTACTAGGTACTCGATTCTATCTGACTTGGCACACCTCTACACTACCCCTTGGTAAAGAAAAGAACTAAGAATGAAAAAAAAAATGAAAAGGCTTGCAACATTGAAGTGCCAAAGTTAAAAGCTGAATTTTAAACAAAATATAGATAAAATACTATTGTTAAGCATTAATTTAACATATTGTGGTATTAATAATATTTGGAATATAGTATGATGCCATTTTAATGTTTTGCCAATTAGAGATTACTTTTGTAGTTACGCCCTCGACGCGGCTGGGTCAAATTGATTTTATCCAATATGGCGGTTCAATTATATTTTTCAATTGTTGTTTACTGTGGTGTTAGCGGCAATGCTTGTTCGTGTTTTTATGGGTTCTCTGGTTTTCGGAATTCATAGGTGTTATATCTCGAAGCGTTATGCTTAGTGAATTTTGTGAATGGTCAATAACAAAAACTTTTTTAAAAAATAACACTCGCTGTTTGAAGTGCATTTTGTGTCGGAGATCAGTGTATTAAGTGCATTACATGTTTATTACTGAAGACCTTAGGTTAATAGCGTACTCGGTCGCGATGTCACAATATGAGCGGTCGCGATGATCTTGCTGCGCCACCTGCACTCGGCACTGCTTTGCTACTCATGGTGAGGAAACTCATATTTACTTATCTAGAATTTAAACTGCACGCTTAGCTTTGACATGACGCGTCTATTTTTATAAAAAACCAACACCGCAAACTGGTACGTACCTAATTCATCTTTGAACATTTAACAGAGATGCCACTTTAATATTATTCTTTCTTTTTTATAATTTGCTGATTAATAATGAGTTAAAGAGCAGTCATACATAATATAAACCAATAAATTAAACATAAGCGGAGGCTTCAGTATTGTTCAGCATGAACAATCAAGTAGCATATACCTAAATTCATACAAAGTAAAATTTGTGTTTGTTGTACCAAACAATATTATTATGGAAAACTATAGGAAGAATTTAGTAAAGAATTTAGTCAAATAATGGTATATTCACCTGCCTGCTATTGGGAAAACACCCAATTTATTGAAACTAGGTTTTTATAGCATACTACATTAGAATATTTATTTTTGGTTCACATAAACATTGGTATACAAGTAAAGCAAAGATATTATTTCTATACTGTCATATAGAAATAATACCTTTGCTTTACTTGTATACCAAAGTATTATTTCTATATTGTCATATAGAAATAATACTAGCTACATGTTAGGTGGTTGGCTGTTTGTAATTAATAACATAAGTATGAAATAATGAAAACCAATGTATTAGTTAACAGACAAATAAACCTTACCTTGTACACAACTGATTAGTCACATGTCATAGTGAAATTTTAGATAAAGTTGTTTATTTACATTATGTGATAAGACAATGAAAATCATGGTTTCATGTACATTAACTATGGTTAATTATATCTATGGGTAATATTACAGTAGGATATTCAGGATCTATCTGGTGAGTTTTGATAACCCACTCACGCAAGTAAAAACCCTTTAAATAAATTAACAATTAGTTACTTATGTTATTTTTTCTTAGATTTAAAGACAAGGCTATCTTAAAATATGATTCCCTGATATTGTTGTGGTGTAATATATCTTATAAATAAAATTCTCGTGTCACAATGTTAGTTACCATACTCCTCCGAAACGGCTGGACCGATTTTTATGAAATTTTGTGTGCAGATCGGGTAGGTCTGAGAATCGGCCAACATCTATTTTTCATACCCCTAAATGATAAGGGTGACCCGACCCACCCCTAATTTTTTTCAATATTTCCTAGAAATAATGTATATGGCCAAAACAACGTTTGCCAGGTCAGCTAGTATTACAATATAAACATAAATGTACAAAGCAGTAATAGTGGGAGACTGGTTTCCAAACTAAGTAAGATAGAATAGAATATGCTTTATTGTACACCAATTACAGTAAGTTGGTTAAATATTACAGTACAATGGGCGGCCTTATTGCCATTAGCAATCTCTTACAGGCAACCTTTGAATGGACAAATCAACAGTAGATAAGAAGAAACAGTGGGTAGTCTAGGTGTATTGAAGCTAACATAGTGTAAAAATAAATACTTGTGTTATGGATATCTAGTCTTTTATACTGAACACCAACCTTCAGCTGCGCAGAACTCAGGTCCCTTTTGAGGTATGAAGTAACATGGGGTAGGGGTTTAGCTATTAATCATAACGTCAGCCAGGGATTGGCTTACCGAAATTGTTGCTGCTCTTAATTCGTTTTCTCATACTTAAGTACGATGAGTACACTTCCGAGCAAATTAATAGGGTCTTTCTTATTTTAATAATAATTTAATCATTGCTACTTTCCCTTTTCATCAATTTAATTTTCTAGTCGTTAAAATTGAGATTTTAATGTGAGTGTATTAGATAGCGTAATGAATTCTCTCATATGTACCTATAACAGAATACCACAATGAAGAAATAGACACCGTACCAGTACCAGCTTTAAATAAGAGATTGATCTGATGGAAGCTGTCAGTCCTATTTCACCCAAATAATTTTATAATTAAAATATTTTTTTAAACAAAATAATGTTAAAAGTTGTGGAAGAAACACAAACATTACTTCTTCTGCAATTAATAAATTATAAGAGACTTTTCTAGTTGAGCAAGAACTTCTTTCCCTGATGAGCTAAGTTCAAATAAAATAATTATCCAATATTTATTAAATGGGAAATTGAAATTTTTGATGTGGGACATCCTTTACTGTTGTACTTAAAGTATATTCGTTTTTTCATTAAAAAAAAAACAATGTTCAAGAAAAAAAAAAATTTCAAGCAGTCATGTGTAAAATTAAGTTTTTCTTAGCTTAGAGATACACTCAAAAACTATTTCTTGTTTAAATCATGGGTTGTAAAGACAATCTAGCTACTAAGGTTAAACGTTACGTCAGCGAGAAAGTCACTATATGTTTTCGCGCCTTATATCGTCTCAAAGCATGCAGTCCCTTATTGAAGTAAAACATTAAAAAATGACAATTATAGCCTGTACTAAATTAATCCCAAGCATTTGTGTCTTCTATATAATCCACGATTGGCTTTCTATTTTGTTTATATTTTATTATTGTGGATTTAAATTTGTTTACACTAAAATCTTGCATACTATTTGGGATTTTATTATAGAATCGGACACATTGACAAAATGACTTGTTTATCTTTTGGAGCCCATTTAAGTTGAAGTAATCAAATGGTATCTATATATTAGTATAAAACGAAGTCGTTTTCCACCCCCTGTATGCTTAGATCTTTCAAACTACGCAACGAATTTTAATGCAGTTTTCTTCAATGGAGAGACTGATTTAAGAGGAAGATTTATATGTAAAACTAGCTGCGCCCCGCGTTTGTTATTGTAGCTTGCTCATGTACCCTATGTGCTCCATTTTATCAAAAATGATCCAGATCCGTTCAGCCGTTTTTGCGTGATATAGTAACAAACATCCATATAAACTTTATATAATATTAGTCAGATACAATATCCTATATAATACTAGTCAGATACAATCATATTATAGTAGAGAAAAGCCGAGAATCTCCAAGATGGTCGTTGTGCGTCGTTATACGATGTACGATCGCTTACATTGCAAACGCTGGCTAAACCTTACGGGATAGATCGAACTAATGAACCACAGAATTGTATATTTTAAAAAGATTTACAAAAAAGTCCACTATAGTATGTCTATCTCCCATGTTTTAAATAAATAAATAAAAGATAATAAAAATCTCCTAAGGATAACTCACAGTAACCATTTTTATCTCTTCTACCCATCACAAAAAGAGAGAGATTTAGAATGCTTGGGCTGAGCGGCGGTAAGGCCGTACGTAGACGGACGTCTAGGGTGCCTCGGCGCTTCCACGGTAACATTAAAAGAAAATATATTTGTATTTTTCCGTGAAAAAACAGCTGTATATGAAGATATTCTGTAATCATAATAATATAATTAATTAGTCGACACTGACACCACGTTATATGTATTGCACGGGGACTTCGGGCGGGTCGTATAAGGTTGATCCATTGGTGGGTTCTGAATTACTATATCTAATCATTGCGTCATTTGTTTTTTCTTAAATATAAACCGTGTGCAGGGTGTGGAGCGCGTCGGCGTCCCGGGCGGCGGCGGGGCGGCGCTCAATGGCGGCACGCCGCCCGCGGCCAGCGTGCCGCCGCCCGACCGCCCCGACGAGCCTCCTCGCAAACGCCCCAAGCTGCCCTCCGTCGATGACATCGCCGCCCTGCGTCGCCGCATCATCGAGTGCGAGCTGCTACGTCTGAGGAATCTGCGAGAAAGGTGAGCGCCGGCTTCCGTACCGATCGCGACGTGCGTTCCGCCACGCTTCCGCTGACCACGTCCTCATTTGCAGGTTCACCGAGCAACTGAGCGAGCTGTACTTTCTGCAGGCGGGCGGCAATATGATGGACTACGCGGTGTGGCGCAAGCGGCCGCCTGCGCCGCAGCTGGTTACGTTCCTGGAGGCGCGTCGGCCGGCGGCCGTGAGCGCGCTGCCCTCCCCGCCTCCCGCGCCGCCCGCCGCGCCGCCCCCCGCGCCCTCGCCCGCCGACGAGATGGTAGAGAAGGCCAAGCAGGAGGCCTACGTGGCGTCCCGCGTGGCCGAGCTGGCGCGCGCGGGGCTCTGGACCGAGCGGCGCCTACCGCGCGTCATGGAGCCGCCGCGCCCCAAGTCGCACTGGGACTACCTCCTGGAGGAGATGGCATGGCTCGCGCAGGACTTCGCCCACGAGCGCAAGTGGAAAAAGCAGGCAGCAAAAAAGGTATGTCGCCTGAAGATGTCACATAGAGGCTAAGGTCTAAAGTATTAATAGATTCTAATTCCTTTTTCTTCAGTCTCTTTTTGTTACAATAGTGTAGGAAGTTGTTCACGTATATTTTAGAGGTAATTCGGTTAAAACACGTCGATCGATTTTACTATAAAAGTATCGACGATATTTAATTTTTGAATGTTTGTGTATTTGTCAGATCCTGATCAAGTCATCGTTTACAACAAATGATTAAATCATACTAATTTATTATTATTTATATTGTAACCAAGACTGTGTGTCAAATATCTAAATTCGTACATATTTAACTTTAAAAAGTGATTGTGAGATACGATTAGGCGGCAAAACTTAGGTTTTTGGTAATTATGCTAAAAGTTCAAGACACGATGTATATTAGCTAAGTATTTATAATCGAAAATACGTTCTTTGACTTTTGAACCTCCGAATTTGACCAACCATTTCCCACGAAATGCAAAGAGTCATGAAATACATGTTTATTTTCCCTAAACGAATATATTAAAGTCATCATACGCCAATTATTTTTTTTCTTGACAAAGATCTTTGTAGCGATACTAAGTATAAGACTAAGAGATAATCTAAACATATTTAAACTTTTTTTTGTATAGTATAAAACCATGGTAGTACACGGTAAAGTCTGTTCATATAATTAAATACTTCTTCACTCTTAACTAAAATAAGCAAATAAAAATTGAATTCTTATTTTATTAAAGTTAAAATATTTTATTTTGCGAGTACTTCGGGGATGCCCGATTAGTTTTTGAAGTCCATCCGCATGGGTGATCTAGTTTGTAGTGCTAATATTATAGAACGATCTCTCTAAAGATTATGACTTCATTATCTTCCAGTGTGCTCGAGCTGTACAAAAGTATTTTCAAGACAAGGCAGCGGCGGCACAAAAAGCGGAAAAAGCGCAGGAGCTGCAATTGAAAAAAATCGCTGCATTCGCTGCAAGAGAAATACGAACATTTTGGTCGAATGTAGAAAAGGTAAGCTCTGCCAATAATAATAATAATACTTCAAAATATAAATTTTATTTATACTACAAACTACGCCGTCTGCTTTTGATCTTGATAAGCAGGCGTCACACAGTCGTTTTTTGACCTAAATGAAAAAAATACAACGATTTCCTTATTACATTGTTTCGTGTCGTTCGGCAGCTGGTGGAGTGGAAGCGCGTGAGGCGAGTCGAACGGGCTCGTAAGGAGGCTCTGGACGAGCAGCTCAGTTACATCGTGGATAAGACCGAGAGATATTCGCGGCAGCTCGCCGCCAACTTGCACGCGCCCGCCGCCGCGCCCCCTCTGGACACCCCCCCCTCCGACGAGGAGTTCGAGCCTCGCGACGATTCCGACGACGACGAGGAGACTATCGCCGCCGCCGAACGGGAGGTGCAACACGAGCCCGACGAGCTCGAAGAGCTGCGGCGCGACTCGAATCTGGCGCTCGGCGACCTGCTGCCGCCCGGCTACCTCGCCGCGTCGCCGCCGCCGTCCGACTACGGGCCCGACGAGGACGAGTCCGCCGACGACGAGAGCACGATCGCGGCGCAGGAGAGCTTAGAGCGCGAGCGTGACTCTGCCGTCGACCCCGAAGCAGAACTCGAGGTGCTGCGGCGCGACGCCGACGTCGACCTGGACGAACTGCGCCGACGCTACGCCGCGCCGCCGCCCGCCTCCGATCACAGCGGTCGCACCAGCCGCTCCTCGTCCGCCACGCCCTCCGACTCGTCGTCGTCGGAGGCGGAGGACGCGGCCGCGCTGGAGGCGCTCATGGAGGAGGCGCCGGCGGAGGCGGCGGAGGGCGGCGAGCGGCGCGTGGAGGCGGCGGCGTCGCTGGCGGCGTCGCTGCAGCCCACGGGCACGACGCTGTCGGAGACGGCCGTGGGCACGCCGGTGCCGCGCCTGCTGCGCCACGCGCTGCGCGAGTACCAGCACGTGGGGCTGCACTGGCTCGCCACCATGTACGCGCGCGGCCTCAACGGCATCCTGGCCGACGAGATGGGGCTGGGCAAGACCGTGCAGACCATCGCGCTGCTGGCGCACCTGGCGCTCGAGCGCCACGACTGGGGCCCGCACCTGGTGGTGGCGCCCACGTCCGTGGTGCTCAACTGGGAGATGGAGTTCAAGAAGTGGTGCCCCGCCTTTAAAATACTGACTTATTACGGCACCATAAAGGAGCGCAAAATGAAACGTGTGGGTTGGACTAAAGCGAACTCGTTCCATGTGTGTATCACCTCGTACAAACTCGTAGTGCAGGACCATCAAAGTTTTCGTAGAAAACGGTGGAAATATCTAATACTCGACGAAGCACAGAACATTAAAAATTTCAAATCTCAAAGGTGGCAGATGTTATTGAACTTTCAAACAGAGAGGTGAGTGAAGTAGCAGTGATTTACAACACAATACTTTCTACCGAGCAGATCATAAAAGTTACATTCGTGTTGCAATATTGTGGATAAAATCAATTGTCCCATTGGAGCAGAACTCTCAACAGTCCCCTAATTGTGAGAGTACCTCGTGCATATAAACATCAATTAACACACGTTTACAATGTACATACTACTAACATACACATTAGTGTTTCAGTTTGTTAGGAATTAAAAAAAAATGATATTTTGCCAGACTGCAAAATATCATTTTTTTTTTACTCCATATTGAAGTCTCCTTAAACTTAATTTGTTGCGCACCCTAAACCTAGTAGCCACAGATATCGACTTATTTAGCTGTACACTGAGTGAGTTCACAAAGACAGTATTATATATTATATGTTACAAAACAAAAAGTTAGAGGTTATGTAAAACAAGCATTTTTGTAATAGTTACGCTATCGCATTAGGATATACCTGTAATGATAGTAGTAAGTGTGGATACTAAATAAATAAATAAATAATAATAGATATTAAAAATTTCAAGAAGATTAGACAATAATAAAGGGTTGCGCAAATAAAAAGTATCATCATCATCATGATCAGCCTATCGTAGTCCACTGCTCACCTGACCACACGTAGGCCTCTCCCATTGCACGCCACTTAGATCGATTTTGGGCTTCTTGCATCCAGCTCCTGCAGAAAGTTTTTCAAAATAACAGTACAATAGAAATATGTTAATCTCAAGTAAAAGACACAAATTTTGCTAAGGGTAATGGTTACCGTACAGGGAAAATTAAAGATAGAGTTAAGCCAACCTGGTTTATATAAACTTAACTAAATCTACAATGGTATGGTTAGATGGGGTGAGTACAACCTAACGGAATAGTGACCGAAAATGCAGTTTTCATGTAAACGTGAAACAATGTTAATCGAGGTAAATCAATGACCGCGCTCAACGTGATATAGCGCGGTCAGTGATTTACTTGTTTTGTTCGCTTGGTGACGCCTCTTCTGTGATGCCCTTAGCAGCAATTGTTTCTATTCTTAAAGCTATGTCCCTTTCTGCAGTATCATTGACTACCTTGAGACCGTCGACCAAGTCTCTGCTATCAAGCTATAATATTCGCTTTTGTCGTAAATAGCGAACAGTTCGAAGAAAGTTTTGTTTTACTAGTAACAAAGCCACGAATGTATTTTTCGCCAATTTAAGAGTTTTCCCATACAGTCGTTTCACTCAGTGCAGTGAATTCGTCAGCCTCGTCACTTGATGGTGAAAAGCCACATTTTGTTCTGTGCTATTGTGTTACTTCTATCTCTTTAAAGTTTTTCTAAATCGCCAAAAACATCAAATATTTCTATTTAATCATTTCTGCAATTTTTGACCAATCAATATTCTTCAACAGTCTTTACAATGTCGAGTAGTAATTTGCAATTAGTTTTTAAAATATTTGTAAGTGGTGCTGGTGGCACACCGCTGTGGTACTGGTGGTCTCTTTTGGGAAGAACTTTTATTACGTAATTAGTTTTGAGGATTATTTATTTTATATTATGTTTAGTATTTTTTGTCCATTAAATAGACTTAGAGTGTACCTCCAAGTTAGTTATTTGTTTATGTTAAACGGTATTTTTTAAATAAGTACTGTATTGCATATAAATTTACTGTACGTTTTTGTGTATGTTCGTAAGGCGGCTGTTGCTGACGGGTACGCCGCTTCAAAACAGTTTGCTGGAGCTGTGGTCTCTCATGCATTTCCTTATGCCTGACGTGTTCGCGTCGCACTCGGAATTTCGCGAATGGTTCAGCGAAGTGGGCGGCATCGCCGAGGGCTCCGCGCGCTACAACGAGGCGCTCGTGCGTCGCCTCCACGAGGTGCTGCGGCCCTTCCTCCTGCGCCGCCTCAAGCTCGACGTGGAGCGACAGATGCCGCGCAAGTACGAGCACGTGCTCATGTGCCGGCTCTCCAAGCGCCAGCGCTTCCTCTACGACGACTTCATGGCGCGCGCCAAGTGAGTAACGCTCCGTCCTCCCTCGCCCCGATACCGTCCGGCTCGTTTATCCGTCTGACCTTTCGGCCGCGTTTCTCTCGCAGGACTCGCGAGAGCCTCGCGTCGGGCAACCTGCTCAGCGTCATCAACGTGCTGATGCAGCTCCGCAAAGTGTGCAACCACCCCGACCTGTTCGAGCCGCGGCCCGTGTCGTCGCCGTTACAGCTGCCGGCGCTGCGCTACCGCGTGCCCGCGCTCGCGCTCGACGCGGGCGTCCCCGAGCGCGCGGAGCTGGCGGCGCGCCTCGGCGGCGACCTCGCCACGCTCGAGGCCGAGGGCGCCGGCGCCTTCGCGGCCCACCGCGCTCGCCACCTGGCGCCTCCGCGCCGCCTCGTCGAGGAGCTCACCGAGCACGAGCGCCGCGCCCCCCCTCCGCGCCCGCCACCCGCGTCGCTGCGCTTACATCTACGGCTCGTGCCGCGCGCTCCCCCGCGTATCGCCGCCCCGCCGCCCCTCCCGCCCCCGGTGACGCTGTCGACGCCGGGCAGGCCCGCCGCGAGCCCGGCCGCCGCGGCCCCGGCGCCGGGCCCGGCGGGCGCGCCGGCCGCTCCGGCGGCGCGCTTGGAGGCGCGGCGTCGCGCGTGCCTGCGGCGGCTGGCGAGCGCCAACGAGCGGCGCTGCTGGCGCCTGCCGCTGTTCGGCGCGGACCTGCGCGCGGCGGTGAGCGCGGGCGGCCCGGCGCTGCCGCCGCGCGACGTGGCCGACTTGCTCGACGAGTTGCATCCTCTCATCGACAGGTATGTCGTTGTTTATCATGTTTGCGGTTTCTCATGATTCTGACACGAAACGCTTTTAAAAGCGGCCTCAGTTTCATGGTGTGCTAAGATGATAGTGAAGGATGTTCAAAACGGTCGAAGCTGAAACTCCGATCGTTTCTGTGAGCAGCTTTTTCTTGAAACGGGCATCGCGGTCGCTTCGATAGACCGCCCTGTCCTCGGATAATATCCAATTCTTCACTCGCTCGGAGAGGTCGTGCCACATAGAATACACGAGGGTGAGTGCAAAAGTTTTTCGGACTCACTCTCGTGTATTCTAGGTGTGTAAGAGGTAGTAGGAATTAAAGTATGAAATTGCCGATTTGTACTGGTTTTCAAAATTCTAATTCGTTTTGTTCTTAGATGTTGTAACAGTTCTATTTTACATAAATAAATATATTCGGGAACTCAAGGAACCGACAGTTTTAATTTCGATCTAATGCGCCATAGATTATATAGGTGACAGTCTGTAAATTGCATACATACCACTACAGTAACAAATTTATTTAATCAAAATATTTACCCTTATTATTCATAAATCGCTGCCATCTAAAGGGAAGTTCATTTATGCCTTTACGATAGAGAACCCTAGGGATCTAGATTCGGCAAAGCGTGTGAAATCATTTAGTACCGCTTCCTTTGAAGAAAAACTGTCCAAATTATGAAAAAAAATGGTAGTCCGTCGGAGCGAGGTTCGGCTAAGTACGGAGGACGACGTATGTAAGAGACGAACGGTCGTACGTATGCGTCATCGTTAAAGTTAGAAACACGAAACGAGAAGTGAAAAGTTATAAGCGTACGAGTGACATAGAAGTAAAGGATTCCGGTGCGGTGCGCAGGTTCTGCGTGTGCTGGGCCGGCGCGCGCGCCGCGGCCCCCGCGCTGGTGGCGGGCGGCGGCGCGAGCGCGCGCGGCTGGCGGCGCCGCGCCTCCCTCGCCGCGCGCGCCGCCGCGCCCCACGCGCGCGCGCTGCTGGCGCTGCTGCACGCGCCCGCCGCCAGACACGCCGTGGCCTTCCCGCACCCCTCGCTGCTGCAGTACGACTGCGGTGAGCGCACCTCACTCGCTCACACTCACTCACACTCACTCACCCACATACACACTCATAGATCGACGCTTTATCGATACCATACGACCATGTCGATATACTCCGCGACTATAAAGGTCACTCGCGGCGTTATGAATGTTAATATCGATAAATCGATTAAATTGATTTATCGATATTAAAACACTAGTGAGAATCCTGATTTCACAGATACACGCACACGCCACACCAAAAATAATCTTGTCACTTTCAAAATAAAATCAGCGGGACTCGTTGCAATACAACACCAAAGTCTTGTACCGACTGACGCTCTACTTCCTAGAACCCGGAAGTCATCGAATATTATATATAATATTAAATCGACGCTGCCTATTGTCAAAGCTCGAAAAACATAATTAAAATGAGTTTACCCGTAGTAATCATTACGTACCGTACATAAAACATTTGATATCAACAAAATTTACACAGCCTAATAATATTAAAATACTTATTTATTAGCATATTTTGTTTATAATCAATATGTACAAAAAAGCGCACACTTACCTTCCATATGCCGTTACAATATGTTTAATTTTACTTTGAAGAAATTCTTATTTTTTTAAATTTATATTATATCATAACTTGTGCGCTAACGTTTGTATAGCAACAGCGGCAAGGTCATTGACAAGGTTTACGCAAAGCTAAAATACTAAGTACTTTAGCTTTGCTTAAACATATATAAAGTTGTAAATTACATAACACAAAAATCACTCCTGTTTCTAAACTACTGAATACATTTTGTTCATATTTTGCAAATTGTGCAGAATATGTGGCTTAAATATTTGTTTAACCAAATAACACATCCGGTATTAATCTAAAACCCTATTAATTTATTAGGGATAACTTTATTCATATCATGAAACGAAATGTTTAATGCCTCACAAAAATTTGTTAAAACGAAAAGGGTGTTTGGTATCGAAGGTAAGCTTCAAACCCTGGACGGGCTGCTTCGGCGACTGAAGGCGGGCGGGCACCGCGTGCTTATCTTCACGCAAATGACGCGCGTGCTGGACGTGCTGGAAGCCTTCCTGTCTCTGCACGGCCACACCTACCTTCGCCTGGACGGCGCCACGCGCGTAGACCGGCGCCAGCCGCTCGTCGACCGCTTCAACGCCGACCCGCGCGTCTTCGCCTTCATCCTGTCCACGCGCAGCGGCGGCGTCGGCCTCAACCTCACGGGCGCCGATTCCGTCGTGTTCTACGACTCGGACTGGAACCCCACCATGGACGCGCAGGCCCAGGACCGCTGCCACCGCATCGGCCAGACGCGCGACGTGCACGTGTACCGCCTCGTCACCGCCGCCACCGTGGAGGAGAACATCCTGCGCAAGGCCGAGCAGAAGCGTGCGCTCGGCCACCTCGCCATAGAGGGCGGCCACTTCACCACCTCCTACCTGCGCGGGGTGACTATCGTTTCTATTTTCAACTCATGATAATAAAATTATTTAGGGATAAATAGGAAATAGTTTTATAAAATTCCGAGCTTGTAGGACGAGCTCGAAATTTTATTAATAAAGATTTGGTTCGATCAGAAATTTTCAATCTTACCATTATCGTCGGTTTAAATCAGAACAAAGGATTCTTAAATTTAGTCCGCAGCGCTCTCGACGTACGACCGTCCGAGCTCATCCGTTTATATTTGTCGCAGTCTAACATCAAGGAGCTCTTCGGGGCGGAAGCGTCGGACGGCGCCGAGGCTGGCTGCACTCCCGAAGCGGGAGCCGGCGTCGAGCTCGAATCCGCTCTCGCGGCCGCCGAAGACGAGGCCGACGCCGCCGCCGCTCAGGCGGCGCGCGCCGAGGCCCAGGGGGACCTCGCCGAGTTCGACGAGACTCTGCCGCTAGAGGACGAGCCTCGGGCGCGTCCCGCCGACCCCGACGATCTCGCCGCGCTGATGAACCAGGTGAGCGATCGTCGGCGCGTACGCACGACCGCTTCTCTCGAACCGCACTGACCGCTCCGTCTCCGCAGCTGACGCCGATCGAGAAGTACGCGATGCGGCTGGTGGAGAGCAGCGAGGCGGCCACGGCGGCGGAACGCGCGGCGCTGGGCGAGATGCGGCGCCAGCTGCACGAGTGGGAGGAGGCGCGGCGCCAGCTGCGCAGCGAGTCGCCGGGCGCCGCGCCGCGGGCCGCCACGCCCGAGCTGACGTACGGGCGCGAGGAGGCGCGCGCCAAGGTGCGTGCGGGGCGGCGGCGGGCGGCGACCCCCTCGCCCGAGGTGCGCACGCGCTCGCGCGGCGCCGTGCACATCGACCTGTGGGCGCTGGACGAGCGCCGCCCGCTGCGCAACGGGACGCTGGACGCGTGGCTCGCGACCCGCTCCCGCGAGGAGAACGATAATAAATGATTCGATCGATGCTCGTGCGTTTTATATTTCTGACGTTCGACGTTCGGTGCCGCTCGGTGTTCGCCCGTAAATGCTTGACCCGTCCCGAACCGGCGCCGCGTCGCGCGTGTTTCCGCGGCACCGATCCGAACGTCAGGGATGTACGGCGCGCAAGCATTTACGAGCGAACCCGACGCACGTCCCCACCCTACCCCTTCGATTATTTAGTAAAGACCTGCTTCCGGTCGCTGTTGCTTAAAATCTTACGTTTCGTTTATTGTTACGTGTTAGGATACGTTAATGTGTAGTAGAAAACCTACTGACTTCTTACGAGACTATTACTAATCGTCATCATCATCATCGACAGCCTTTAATGGTTCACTGCTGGACATAGGCCTCTCCTTAGAAAGGAAGTTTTGGCCTACTATACCACGTTGGCCGGACGGATTGGTATAGGGTTTGTGTCAAGTTTTCCTTTGCAGTTTTGTTGTCCTGCATAGTTTTCTCTCTTCGTCGCCTCTTACAACACTCATGGGATGAATGGGGGTGGTGACAATCCGTATTCTTAATTATTACTAATACACTTAAATAAATCCAATTGTTACTTAGTAACAGTCCCAAACGCTCTCCGAGATCGCCGGTCACACGTCTAATCACTTCGATATTTATCGTACTGTAGCTCAAACTGAACTGCCCTACCGGCGAAAAGGTCCCTGTATTTATACTACTCTCTCAACCACCAGAAACTTCATCTATCTAGTCATTTCTCTTAATAGTACGAGATCCGGCTGCAGAATCAATGCACTCATCGAGTATGTGCTCTAAACCCAGTTTTTACGCATATTTATGATTAGGAGACTATATATCTACCAGGTTGCCTATCAAAATGTGGCCGCTACTATTTTGTTAATTGATTTTGGGGAAAGCATTTCGTTCACTTGTTTTTTAAATATAATATCGTCCACTTCACGGCAATATATATAAAGACTCTAAAAAATGGCGTTTGCCATTGCGCACCCGCCGCACCTCTGCGCGGCCAGGTGTAAACAGGTATGATTTGGGGACATTTATACGTTCATAACGTACGTTTATTATTTATATATCAAATTAATTGTAATTTTTTTTTGTTTATTATGATATACGGTTGCCTAATTAAATCTGGCCGCAAATAATGGTTGCTGGCTGTTAAAGATGGTAAATATTTAACCTAGAGTGAAAGAGATAGCGCGTAACATCACTAGTCAGACGAGGATAGCGATTACCAGCTGTACGACGCTTAATTTTTTCATTTTGAAAAGGAAGACATTTCTTTTGGAGTATTTATTAAGTCGTCCCTACTACTGTTTACACCGGTGGTTGAGAACACGAGCGTTTGACTTATGCGCAATGGCTTTAAAGCGCAACGGCAACCGTGATTTTTAAATCTTTTTTTTACTTATGAGATTTTTTTAGTTATCCCCTGTTTTCATATTTTAACTGAATTTTATCAGTTTGCTAAAATCTTGGTCTCTTACATACGGATCTGTTCAAATTTATATAACTAATAATATCGATATTCACTATAAATAAAGTGAAAAATAAAATCATAATAATAATAATTCACTATTTTTACAAAATAATGATTTCAATACAAAACATCAAAGAATGACCTATAAATCACAACACTATCGATACACGTGCCGTCATTAGACAAAGACAAGTACTCCAATTAACGTAATGAGTGAAAGGGACATTTCAAAAATACATCAACGGGTGCTTAATTGTTATCACTTTGCACTAATATAAGTTGAAGTCTGGTGCATTTGAAATAGGTTAACGTGATAACAATATAATTTACTTACCGATGAAATGTTAAGCCATCTTTTTGATACCTAGGCACCATTACACAGGACAGCAAGCCATTTCTATTATATTTTGATATAAAACTATTTTAAATTGTCAATAATTCGATCTTAGTCGTTCCTAAAGTCGTCATTCTTAGCGTTACGTCGTATGCTAGCTTGTAGCTAGCATACAAGTAGGTGTTACGTGCCTTTGTGGCTCTGTATGCGGCTTTAAAGCGTCGTACAGCTGGCAATCGCTATCCTCGTCTGACTAGTGATGTTACGCGCTAAGGCTAAGGCCTCCGGCTCGAAGGATCAATCGTAAATACCAAGAGTTGCCTGGTATTTAATCGGGAACAACACAATTGCACTGGTAAGGGTAACTAAGTCGAGTGAATAAAACTACAACTTGCAGTTACTTGTTCTAAAATATTGTATTGTTACCCAAGGATGGTTTACACAGTTCATGTTATAACACTAGGTTGAGCGAAACAATAACGCGATTCAGGCAAAAGGAACAACGCCATCTATCGAAGTTCAAAAAAAGTATTTTTAGAACAACAGAAAAAAAATAGCTTTAATTTGATATATAAATAATAAACGTACGTTATGAACGTATAAATGTCCCCAAATCATACCTGTTTACACCTGGCCGCGCAGAGGTGAGGCCGAGTGCGCAACGGCAACCGTGATTTTTCAGTCTATATATATATATATATATATATTGCCGTTAAGTGGTATATTTTATTTTATTTAAAAAAACAAGTGAACGAAATGTTTTCCCAAAAATCAATTAATAAAAATTTAATTAAAAATACTAGCGACCACATTTTGATAGGCAACCTGGTAGATATATAATCTCCTAATCATAAATATGCGTAGAAACTGGGTTTTTAGCACTTACTCGATGAGTGCATTGATTCTGCAGCCGGATCTTAGACTATTTGGTGTTCTGTTGCTAAGCAATGCGAGTACGTTTTAAATGTAAACAAAATCGCGGGACAACAAGTCATTTAAACAAAAAAAATTGTCGCAAATTTTATGCTCTACAATTTTTATAATAGATAAAAACATAGTAGAAACCGACATAATCACGAAAACTGTTAATTTTTACCTATGACCTTAAATAACTTACGACGCAGACACGAGGTTATCTGAGACGTTTGAGCAACTTTTAGAACGCCAAAGTGAAAGTATAAACAATAATTCAGCGTATTATCTCATTCCGAGGTTGACCCTTTTATGCTAAGTGACTGGAAGGTTGTGACTTACTATTGACGACGTTTATAGAATAAATAGGGCGAGACCTAATATATTGCCCTGAGGCACTCCCGCATCTGTTGCTCCTATCGACGTTTCATACTCTTCTATGTTTCACAACGAAGTTGACTGATTTGCAGATATCATTTAAAATCATATAATTTATTAACAACTATAGACAATCATTATCAACTAAAGACAGCATAAGTAAAACAGCTGCTTGCTGTACGTTCAGCCTCTCATTAGATAGGTTTTTGCATACTATATAATGAGCCATTAAAATTGTCTTATTACGACACATTTTCTGACGGGTGTTTCCAATCGCGTCACTCGTGGATTAAATGACTTATTTTTCTGAAGGAAAAAATAAAACAAGTTAGCAATTATATTTTCTTCAATTATGGGCTGTTGGGCTTTAGGATAGTTATTTTCAACATATTTAGAAGCCTTACTTATGAATTTTTTAGTGTCCAAATGTAAGGAAGTTTTAGTATATCGCCCATACATGGCCATGCTCATCATATTCTCTGGGAATGTAGTCTTTGTTACAACGAACGTAATGAAATGCGGAATAGCTTACAGGTGATATCTGGGGCGGTATACTGTGAGGATCCCGTGTCAAAAAGGATGAATTTCACTGAATTTTGGCCATTTTTAATATACATATACGAATCAAAAATAGCTTACTTAGGAATCATAATGATTTGTGTCCTTTGTGCTTCCCTATTTAAGAAGGTGTTTGCCTTTTTACTGCATTTGTGTCTCCCTCTTTGCTAATTTTCGAAGTGGATATTATATTTCCAATTTCTCAATAATTTCATTTGTGGATTCCAAGACAGGAAAAGTTAAGGTCATGTTTTCTGGTACTACCTCACTGTCATAATTCGATGTGTTCGTGGGTGCTGCTATTGATCGTGGTGTATAGGAGTTACAGTAAGGAGCGTGTGCGAGGGATGAGTCCCAAAAACTACACGACAGGACGTAAGATCAAAGTATGCAGCTTTTGGTTTTGCATAGCAGTTCGATTTATACTCCTTAGATTCTATACATTATATCGTAGAATAGGGATATCGTCTACGGCGCTCGAAACCCAGAAGATTGGTATAGAAAAGCAGGATATCATTGATGCGTCAGTTGTACCGTGGCATCGGTACACGCAAGCCGTCGGCTCCTATCTACGGACCTATTCATTATACTAGTTTCTGACAACTCCCGAGTGATCTTACAAACACACACACACACGATACATCACTCAGTGTGTGATGCATCGAAAAGGAGCGTCTGGTGGACGTCACTCACAGCCCTCGGCGGCGCCGTGTTTATTCAGTGCGCTTGGTTTATAGGATTTCATAGAGACTAGAAGATGCATGAATAGAACTAACGAGCCTGCGCTGATGACGGTCAGGTTTGTGCTGGGTTCGTATGTCCCGTGCTAGAGCGTTAGTAAAAGTAGTAATTGTAGTGTAGTAGTCTGTTTTTTTTGGGTTTCGTACCTAAAAAGGAAAAAAATGGAACCCTTATAGGACCACTGTCGTCTGTCTGTCAAGACCCTTTATCTCGGGAACGCGTAGAGGTATCGAGTTAAAATTAAAACCATATACTCAGGTCTACAGTCCCCTGAAGCTGTGAAAAAGAAAACTTCTAAGCTAACGATTTCGACACTTTTAAGGGACTCAAAATTTATAGGGTACTTCCTGTTGACCTAGATCTATGAAATTTAACAAGTAACGTCTTATACAACAAGTATAGGGAAAAATCTGAAACTACATTTGTAATGAAATCATAAAAAAGAAAGTCTTTATTTAAAGTCATAATCAATCATGGAGGTACAATTTCACTTATAAAACACAATAATATAATTATAGGTTTTGGAAAATGAATTTCGGGAAAAGCTCTGCAAATACTGCGAGACTCGATTGCTGAACTATTTATATTATGTACCTACAAGTTTGTACGGAACCCTCGATGGGCGAGTCCGACTCGCACTTGTCCGGTTTTTTTTTAAGGAACACACGTTTACGATCGCTTGCATTGGCAGAAAACAATGCAGGCTTTGTTTAGTTTAGTCCACAGGAGTTTACTATCTAGCATTACTCCTAGGTTTTGACCTTTTTTGGTAAGAGCCAGTTGAATTTGAAATAGTTTAGGACGTTTGAGATTTCCTAGACTAAATTTGTTTGTGAACATGATCATCTCTGTTTTCGATCACTGTGTGTATTGAAGTTGTGTCACACAAAAACTGTTCAACGATCTTCAGTGCGAGTCTCATTGGAACGCATATAACGCTCTCAGAAGGACCACTGATGAAGATAGTCAGATCCTCTGCATAGCCTATTGTGAGGAATCTACGGTAGTTATCTAATTAGTTCATCCACAACAATGTTCCACAGAAGGAGGAGAGTAAACCGTTCTGTGGGCACCCTCTAGTCAACACCCCCCTAGTCACTTCGGGCACGGTAAATTGAAGAGCTCTATATCTTAGCAGGTCGTTGATCCATCCTGAGATTTTGAAATCAACATCATGTCTATAATAGAGCTTGGCTATTACTGGTGAAATTTGTTTTGTCAAAGGCACCTTCAAAAAAACTTAAAAATAAAATAATAATAATAATTAAAAAAAAATTGAGAGAAATCTTTATCTTAGTTTTCACTGTGTTAACATCGATATCAAAAACAGTGATGTAAAGTGTTTCCCCAAACTGCTGTCTCACTGTCTGCTACACGTGTACACAGTAGTAAAGTTTACAAAGTGCCCAAAGTTGACATTCGCCATTTATTAATGGACTCGAAAACAATATTTTTTTCCATTTATGGAAAATCAGATGACTGTGGTATTACTCGTTATTTGGTTTAGACAAAAAAGCATTACAATTAATCAGACACTTTGATATTTATAAGTATAGATTAGTTACGATGTGTTTATTTTCGAAGTAAAAGTTAAAGGAAGCAAATCAAATGTGCTGGTGTAGTTTGTTTCTTTTTTAATGTTACAAAAATTATTGTTGTTAGGCGACGTAACCACGAATCGAGTCGACAAATATTTGATATGACATCATGCGTCGTATAATCCATATTTACGTATTTTTATGCTTTTAACTTTATATTTATAATCGGTAACGATCGAAGGCTGTCAATTCACACGAAGTACATCTTTTACAGTTATGGGTGAGCGCTTCCGGGACTCACGAACGCATGCCGGTGAGTACTCGAGTTCGTCGGTCGCCACCGCCACGGTCCCTTGAGTTCGGTCGATCGTAACGCTCCGTCTCCTCAGATATGGTGCCCGCCGACCCCTCCGTCCGGCGACGGCGACGTGTACTGCGAGAGCTGGGCGCGCGCGCTGTACCGGCGCGGAGCCGCCGCCGACTCGCTCCTGCCCGCCGTGCACCGCCGCGAGCCTCGCGCCGCCCGCTCCCCGCGCCGCGCGCGCCCCCCGCCGCGCGCCCCGCACGCGCCGCTCTCGCTGTTCGAGCGCGCCGGGCCTCGCCCGCGGCCCCGCGCGCGTCCGCCCGCCCACGCGCACGCGCACCCTCACCCGCACGCGCCCGCGCCCGACTGGAGCGGCGGCGAGGACGCAGCGCTGCGGCGCGCGCTGCGCCTGCAGCACCTGCCCGCCGAGCCGCCCGCCGCTCTGGCGCCCAACTGGGAGTGGGCGGCCGAGCTGGTGGCGGAGGCGGCTCGGGCCTACCGCTCGCCGCGCGCCTGCCGCGACCGGCACGACGCGCTCGCCGACCCGGAGCGCGCTCGGCGACGACACCGCCGCCCTCCGGCCGCGCGGCGCCGCGCCGACGACGACGCCCCGCGGCCGCCGCTGGCGCGACTCGAGGCGATGCGCGACGCCGCCGAGCGTCGTCGTGCGGCGCCCAAGCGCCGCCTCGAGGAGCCGCACCATCACAACCCGAAACACGCGGCGTTGCTCGTCGACCACGGCGTGGACCTCGACGCGCCTCCCACTCCGATGGAAGTGGCCTCGCGCCGCGCCGAACGCATCGCCAAGGAGAAGCTGAAGGCGGGCACCGCGACGGGCGCGGGCGCGGGCCCCGCGGCGGCGGGCGCGGTGGCGGCGCCGCAGCGCGTGGTGGTGGCGGCGCCGGCGGGCGGCAGCAGCAAGGCGGAGCTGCCGCGGCGCGTGCGGCCGGCGCAGGAGGGCGCGCGCGGGCCGGCGCCGGCGCAGGGCGCGCAGCCCGCGGCGCAGCTGCTGTATCGCCAGCAGACGTTCCCCGCTCGCCATCTAAAGATCCTTCACCAGACGGCCGCCACCCACGCTCAGGTGAGTGTCACCTTGTGTACGTAACAGATTAAAGTCGCCGCGGCAATAGTTCTTTTGTGATCGATTGTAAAGTTTATTTAACATACTTTTATTAGCTCGGTATCGATGTAACGAAATCTTTAAACGTGATTTCCATCCACCTCAAAATGAACCCATCGAATTCAAATTGCGCACACTCGTCGAGGACAAATGACGACATAATAATTTGTTAAATTTGTCCGATTATCCTCATCGGGTTCTTCTTACATTACTTTCTTGTTACCTTTTTAGTCTCTTATGAGAAAATAATTATTATTAATGACAAAGAAAACAAAAATAATAATTTTTAAGAAATAAATAATCTTAAAATGAAGTTCAGATTTTTGGTTCGGTTAGTAAAAACACCGTGTTTAACCTATAGCTTAGCTTATCCTGTAACTTATAATTTATATAATTTATATAACCGATTTAGGGTTTCGTTTATTCCGATGAAAAATCTAATCCTTTTAAGGTCGTTATAATCGACCATCGAGGTGGGATGGCAGAGGCGCGACGCCGAAGTTTCCAAAGTTTTTTATTAATATATTGCATCATCATCGGTCCTCGATAAGAGTGCGAAGTTTCAATTAAATTCGACGTTTCGAAGTGGGTAAAAATCACATTTAAATATTCCGTTACATACATACATTCCTACGGGTGGAGCCGATAATAAAACAGTGTTAAAGAAGAAACGCTCGAATAGCCCATTGACAGCCTACTAGTGGGCCGAGGTCCATTATTTTCGCCACACAGTAGGGATACATCGGTAGAGATATGTCGAACGGGTGAAGTGACGTGACTGTGACAGGCGCCGGCGACGAGCGCAGCCGCGACGGTGGAGGGCGCGCCCGCGCTGCGCAAGCTGCAGCTGCAGCAGCTCGCCCTGCGCCGCGCCGCGCCCGCCGCGCCCCCCCCGCGCCTGCTGCCGCCCGCCGCGCACCGCGCGCCCTCGCACGTGGTGGTGGCGCACCTGGCGCACCACCCGCCGCACGCGCCGCACGCGCCGCACCCGCCGCGCGCCCCCGACCCGAGACAATAATATACGTTCCTCCACTTTAACCACCTTTTATTTCACCGCCTACTCTGCGCGCCGCCGGTTTCCTTGATTAACCGAAAAACGATATTCGGACGGTAAACTCGGAGCGAGAGAAGGTCCCAGGGGGACCGGCGTCGAAGACGACGACGGCTTCTCGGCACGGCCGAGGCTACTTTCAGTAAGGTGCGTCTCGCATCCGCTTTGTACACTATAATATATTAATAAGAAAATGACTTAATAAAAATAAATCTTCATTTTGTCTGCATTTTCTTCCCCGGTGGGGGATGCCGGTATACCCCCTTGCCCCTGCTGCCGAAGCCTATGGCTGTGGTCAAAACTCATAAAGGTTTATGATGAAATGAGGCGATTCAAGTATCAGGTAAACTCTAAAGGAGGACGGGGTGGTCTTCGAATTGCTTATTTTTTATGACATGGGGGAGGGGGGAACTGGAACTGGGTGATTTTCTGCAAAATTTAATCGGTTTTGATTTGAACGTTTCACATTGGCAACCCTACTGCTAGTGCTCGAAAGCGAACACATACTTCAGGATTTTAATTCCACTTTCACGCGTTCACACTAATAATAATATTAGAACAAAATAAATTGACTTGTGCATCGTTAATATACTTGTTCTATTTTTAATTTACTCGAATAAAGACTAAAATAGAGTGCATGAAACTCCTGTTGACTAGGTAAGTCTTCTAGTATTTATACCGGTTGCTCCCAAAGCTCCTTTCGGCCTGGGTACGACCATGATACAAGAAATAACGTCTGGTTATTACATTGAAACGATTGGCATCTGGCTTTCGTTACCCTTAGACAGGCGGGAAACCAGACGAATTGGTTCAAGGTTACACATCTAAATATTGTACATGTATAGATTCCCGGCGCTGTTTTCTCATGTCTAACAACAGTTTACTGTTTGAATGTAGACCGTAAGTCTATTGACATAGCACACGAAAGGTCGTGATGAGACTAAGATTTTTAGAAGTATTTTGATTTACTAAGAATATAATTACAATGATATACTTACACATCTCAGACATGGCTGTTTGGTCCTAAACTAGTCAGAGCTTGTACTATGGTAACGAGACTGCTGATAAACATATTTCTCATAAAAAATCAAATAATAGATAAATTACACGCAGACACAGAACAAACGATCATGCTCATCACACAATTAATTGTTTTGAGTTGGGATCGAACCCACTGTCTCTTTGCAGTCAGAATCACTATATAACCACTAAACCACCCGGCCCGTCAAAATATGTTGGAATGTTCTAGAATACAACTTCAAGTGAAAACAAATACGTTCAATATTTTCTAGAACTAGTGTCACTAATGATATTTTCGATAGTTTTAAAGTGTGTGAAGATATCGATGTAACTGGACGTCTCAAAGCACTACTTGATGCGTGCGTAAACGCTTTTCCATTTATGTGTCTATTATTGTATTTATTATATTTTCGTACTTACAGTACGAAAATCTACGCTATAATATTTTGCAACAAAGTATTATAATAAATAAATCACATCAAGAGCAATACTGTTCCGAAACCAAATTTAATTCATTCATTCACAATGTACAGTAATCCCCCCTATAACACGGTACTCTAATAACGCATTTTCATAATACGCTCCCCCGTACGAGTATAACAAATCTACCGTGTTATAGGGGGGATTACTGTATATATTTTTTAAATGTTAAAAATAATGAGTTTTGTTTTATGAATCTGTGATGCACAGAAAATAAATTGTAGCCAGTGTGCACTGAATTGATCTCAAAATACCCTTTGCCGATGCATCATTATGAAAAAACAAGTTGTCATAAATGTCACGTTGACAATTGAAGTTGAACGTCATAGAAGCTCACAGTTCACGAATCGTGATGGATATCATTTACCATTAGGAAACGAAAATAAATCAAAAACTAGTCTAAAAAAATTATACAACCTCGTTTTGTTTCTTTTCTGAATTAAAAAGCAATTAAGTTAGTTGTAGTACGTGTACTGGTTAGGTGTATAATTTGTAGAGCCGTAGATTTTATAGAATAAGTGACAATATACTACACAGTGGTGTAGTGCTGAGTTCACTTTCGTCAAATAAAAACTATTTAGATTTTGTGCAAACAAATGTGTTGGTAGCAAACAAGTTAAATTGTTGTATTTCTGTGCATTACATTAATGTAGGTGAGTTACTATGCTACTATTTTCCTTGTACAACAGGTAAGTATGATGACAGTTTACATTGCAGTCAAACTGTTTCAGCGGTTCACGCCGCAAGTCGCCACAGAGCTCTGAAGCATTAAACAAACTGACCATCACTTGGACAATAATTAACAGTTTATGTAAAAGTTAGAAGAATCTTGTAAATGGTGACAGCTAATAGTGACTTGCATTGTTGCCTTTTCATACTTATCACCCGCCTGTAGTTTGTAAACTGTAAATATCGCATCGTAATAGCTCGTATACGTGAGTGCGATAAACATATTTTCGTAACAGTATTTTATGTTTTATATTACCTAAAATACTGTTATTATAATTATATTTTATTTACCTTAGTTTATATGTTTGTACCTTCAGTGGGGGTACCAGCCCTGATACTCATTACATTAAAATATCGCCCTAAAACCAATCCCATGCTCAAATCAAAAAACAATTGTGCCTGTAAATTGTTCCAGGATCCCTTTAAAATCATAAAAGGAACTACTTAAAGCAATCGTAAGTCTATATTGTACTAAATAGATCATTTCTAGAACTGGAAGCTGTATTGTAAACAATTTTAGGTCCGTTTGTAATTTTATTTATCTGGTACTGGTCCCATAGAGATATGTTATGATTAATTGTTGATTTTATCATTGTATGTTTACCACTTATTTTGTACTAGCTGGTACCCACGACTTCGTTTGCCTGGAATTAAAAAAACGCACTGTATGTGACTGCACTCAATGAGGCCTCGGGTTTGATTTCCAGACTGGGTTAATTTTTTAGGGTTTTCCCGAGAGGCAAAATAGCTTATGTTTCTCCTTATATAGACAGCTACCAGGTAGTTAAATAGTATCAAAATCCGTCCAGCCGTTGTAAAGGTTACCCGGAACAAATAGACATACAAAAAATATTTAAGATTAGTTAGTTTTTAGGTATAGGTATCATGCAAATAACTGTGTGAACATGAATATAACCTATTATTTTGACATTACGAACAGACACTTCAATTTTATAGATATTTGTATAGATACATTTTTATTAAATGTATACGAGTAATGTTAAACCTGCACAGTTTGCAAAGTGGTTCAGGATCAATTCTCTTTTTTTAAATACGTAAATCGTTTGGTCTATCTACTAATGGAATATACATATATGTTTGTACTTTGAATCTTCTGCAAGGAGTGGGTTCATACAGGTGTATTTTATGTGATAAAAGCTTGCGTAGGGATCGTACGATGGTCACTAGTAACGATGTGGAACTGGGGGGCAGGGGGGCAGCGATGGCGGGGCGCGGCGCGCGCTGGCGGCTGGCGGCGGCGCTGGCGGCGGGCGCGCTGCTGCTGTGGGCGTGGCGCGGGGGCGCGCGGCCGGCCGGCGCGCAGCTGCGGCGCCAGCTGGACGCGCCCGTGGAGGGCCGCGAGCTGCCGCTCATCTTCATCGGCGGGGTGCCGCGCTCCGGCACCACGCTCATGCGCGCCATGCTGGACGCGCACCCCGACGTGCGCTGCGGCCAGGAGACGCGCGTGGTGCCGCGCATCCTGCAGATGCGCCAGCACTGGATGCGCTCGCCCAAGGAGAGCGTGCGCCTCGAGCAGGCGGGCGTGTCCAAGTCCGTGTTGGACAACGCCATCGCCGCCTTCTGTCTCGAGGTGATCGTGCGTCACGGCGACACCGCCGCGCGACTCTGTAACAAGGACCCGCTCGTACTCAAAATGGGCACCTATGTGCTGGAGTTGTTCCCCAACGCCAAGTTTCTGTTCATGGCGCGAGACGGCCGCGCCACCGTGCACTCCATTATCACTCGTAAGGTATGTTTTGCATCCCTTTGCATAATTTCCCATAATGTAATAATATTCTTATTAATGCTGTACTAATAACCAATGTGTTGCTTGCACGCTAGGTTAGGTGGGTAGTAATGTAGGTCTACCGAGATAGTATTGTGGATGAGATGCAAACGTTGCGCTTTCGCTCTCCATTGAGTATCGGGTACGACAGTGAGAAACGCATGCATGGAAGCATGACATAAACAACAAATTATTCATTTCTCAAATTTTAAATAAATAGCCCGCATCACAATGTTCATAATTAGCGCGAAACGCTGAATGATGATATGTCAACATATCAAGCTAATAACATTCCCACTAAGCGGCGGCGGCGCCACGTTCCTGTTGTGATTGCATTCAGTTCGTATCACAATGTGACTTTAGAACTGTATATAATTATGATTGAAGTGCCAGTGTATTAATACAGCCCCAGGGTACACACAAGCGACTCCATCCCAAAACCAATTTTACTTATACCGCTACATGTACTAACTTCCATTCTGTCTACGGGTAATTTATTGTTATTAAACGAAGTACACCTGGATGGTTGGCGCTCCACTACTGTGCGCTTGACCCGCAGGTGACCCGTCTGCTCGTCTGCCCCCTCTAACATAAAAAAAGCAAAGCCTTGTTTTGCCTAAATGGCGATTACGAGCAATTAACACCCTTTTAGACAGTCAATACATAATTAATGCATATTAAGTGTGTAAAGCCCCTATAGGTAGGTTATAAAAGTTATAGGTAGGTTACGAATCTATAGAGGTCCCTGGCGGCATGTGCTAAAGGCAAGGGTTCTCCGAATAAGAGCGCTCGATCGATACGATTACATTCCAACTTAAGCTTTTTGGTCGATTTAATATTTTACCGTGTTCAACTCATTGGGCAAATAATGCTATTTATTATGCTTAATAAAGCTTTTTAGTTCGAAAAAAAGCCGTGCATTTTTGAATAAATTAATAATTCAGTTAAGTTTTCGCTCGAGCGGCCTTATTGGACCTTTAGTTTATTTTTTTTCATTTGTTTATTTTTCCAATTTTATTGTAAATAATCGTAGGTACTACATAGGTAGTAACTTGAACAACTTCATATAAGTCATGAGAGGCTGCAACCTAGAAAACGACCGACTTCAAAAATGATATTTTTGCTGATGCGTATATAACTGTGGCGTTTTGAAGCGCGTATTGAAACTCTGCATAGGCTCCAGAGTTGTGTTGAGACGTCTCTTACTAAGCCGTTACTGATTTACGAAAAAAATAATTGCGAATGATTGCTCATTGCGATTTAGAGCTCAACAGATTGCTTAAGAAACCGAAAGATGAAAAAGCGTTGTAAATACAACTAAAGGTATATTTATTTATTTATTTACTTCAGTTCAATAAAATGAAATGGTCAAATTGATATACTACATCAAGCCAATTACAGGTTTTCACAAATATAATAATTGTAATTTAACAGAGGTTCTGTATCACCAACTAACACGACACTACACCTATACAATAAATGACAATCGATCTAAAATCTTACTATTGGAAAAAAAATTTGGTATTAAAGGCATCAAAAGAGTATTCCTTGCACAATTTATTGAAATCGCTGCTCGCTCGAACAATATTCATATATTGTTCGAGCGAGCAACTATAGACTCATTCTATAGTTGGAGGAAGAAAATGGAATAGAAGTCTAATCGACTTATAGGGACATTAAATTTTAACCTTTGCAGAAGGCTAGGACAGTCAACCTCATTAGAAATAATTTTCAAAAGAAAGAAGTAATCAGCCAATGGTCGTCGATTTACAAGTGGCTGGATATGAAATTCCCTACACAGACCAATGTAATTGTTTGAGCTGTAAGGAATATATAGAGGAAACATAGACGTGCATATACCTATGATATTTAAAGAATCACCTCTAAGTCCTAACCGTTAACCCCACATCACGCCACTGCAAATCCCGGTGGGGTGACGCGCGAAGTTGTTTTCACACGAAAGTTATTTGTATATTAAAATTAGTTTGGCTATAAATATTTCTCCACACATATATTCCTTATCTGGTGATAAAACACCGCTTTCATTAATTCAATGTTATTTTAAAATTACTTTATGAGCTACGAACGTGGCCTGTCATATTACGTTTCGATTTGCACATTCTCCATTTGGTAAGGCACTATTATTTATACATATGTGTGTTGTACCAAATTGCTTTGCCGTGTTACGGTAAATTGAAATGTCGTATTGAAGCTAGGTACAGCGGAGATATTTACACGAATACACTAACGCGATTAACACGTGTTGCTCCTGTGTACGCTACAGTTCAATGCTCCGCAGCCACGTTTCGATGTCCGTAATATATCACCTAAATCATTACTGGTATATAGTAGTTATTGTACTGGTATTTAGTAGGTCTCATATCTTATAACAAGAGTATATCGACAAGGTAAAAAGTGCGTTTGTTTCCTTCCTGTACAGTGCACCTACACTCGTGGCACGGCGTCCGCAGCCGCACAGTGGTGGCTACACTAGTACATCGCGGCGAGGCGTGTTCCGCTTGATTACCAACACGTAGCATGTTTAGGTTTTTTCAGATTTTTTGTGCGCTGATATGTTTAATCAAAAATAATTAATTTTGGTTTCACACTATAATTTAATGGGCACCTGGTACGTTCATGTTGCATTGTTTTGCTCGTTATCAGTAAATGGCATATTATTGGCCTCGTACAATATTTCAGATAAGTTGGAGCACAAGAGAATGTCGCAAACGTTTGCTATTGTTCGCATTCAGAGCTCGCATGAAAAATACATTATGCAATATTTAGCCAAGCGCATGCATTGTGTGTGACGTGGGGCATCGCGGCTCCACCGGGCACCGTGTGCTGTTGATTAACACAAGTTAGATACATGTACCTCTTCTAATTAAAGTGTGCCACTAGCCCTCACCTACCCTACCCAGTCCGCACCTGTCCGTTTTCTTTAAAAAGAACATAGTAAGGTTTCTGCCACACTCTTCGATTGTATATCTCGTGGCTCTCACCTGTTTCACATTCAGTGAGTCAAGGCCTAATGAGCCTGAACGTGGGAAAATAGCACTGAAGTCTCCAAGTTTTCTTAATATAATATTATATTTTATGTTTTTAATTACTTCATTACGTTATGAATTAAGAAATATACACCGTTATTGTTGTTGTATAGGTTTAAATTAACACACATTTGACACCTACTGATTACCACATTTTCTGCCATTCGACTTTCGGCTGGTTCAGAGAAAAAGAATCAGCACCTACTTATTTGAATACAAACGAAGTATTTACTAAACAATACTCAAATTGCACACGAACCATCAACAAGAGCCGATAAATCTAGAACTTTGAATAAGACAAAGAATTTTCACGAGTGTTTGGAAACAAGGTTTGGAGAGTAAGATGAGAACTTTTAGAGAAGATCTGCAACCAAGTGAAACAGCACACATCATCAAGTTGATTATTGTAAATATTAGTTTTTACGAGTATAGTCTACAGGTTCGTAGGAAGTAAACATGTTCTTCATGACGCTTAGAAGGTTCTAGTGTCCCTCTTGCACAGACAATTATGGCTCCTTTTTTGCCGTTACTACCAGTACTAATACGGGTAACTTGATAACCCTTACTACTGCAGTTGAAAGTTGTTAGAAGAGCAACACAAAAATGCCCGTGTTGCTACCGTAATAATGAAACAAATTATAGCGTATTTTTAAAAATAAAATGTCAGTATTTTAAGTACTTATAAAAAATTACATTGACAAATCTTCTTTGAATGTCTAGGTATTGAAATAATATAATATTTCACTTACCTAGTTCGGCAAAAACCTGTTCTGCAGTATGAATATGTTGACGCTTCCTATGAATATGCTGACGTTTCGGTTTTAAATGCGATGTTCGCAGGTGACCATCACTGGGTTCGATCTGACGAGCTATCGGCAATGCCTGACCAAATGGAACCACGCGGTAGAGATGATGTATCAACAGTGCAAAGCGATGGGCACTGACAAGTGCTTGCTGGTGCGCTACGAGGCATTGGTGCTGCGGCCGCGTGAGACGATGCGCCAGGTGCTCGAATTCTTGCAGCTGCCCTGGGACGAAGCCGTCCTGCACCACGAACGCTACATCAATCAGCCCAACGGCGTTGCGCTTTCCAAGTAAGACCTATACCCTAGGGGGTGACACCTATACTCTGTCCAGTCGTTTGACTTCTTTGTGACGCATCAATATGTAGGCAGTTTCATCCAGAAGAAATTTCTTAAGGATAGTCAAAACAACTCTTACACCTCCAATAATTTATATCATATCATATATTTTTTATTTCACTTATCAATTAGTGATGAGCCAACACGTTACAGACTTCATCATTAACAACCATATTCCACAAAGAAATCTTTTCAAAGTAACGCAAAGCAATAATTTTAACATTGCCGTTCTGTTCGACGTCAATTCTTAGACGTTCATGTATCAACTCATCAATCGTCAGTCAATGGCATGTTTCGTTTTATATAATGTGACCGTTCCGATACTGTGTCTGTTGGTCTTTCAAAATGAGCTCTCAACCGATGTGTAATAATGAGGTGTTCGGCGCAGCGTGGAGCGCTCGTCGGACCAGGTGGTGCGGCCCGTGAACCTGGACGCGCTGGACAAGTGGGTGGGGCAGATCCCGGCCGACGTGCGCGCCGACATGGCGGAGCTGGCGCCCATGCTGTCGGTGCTGGGCTACGACCCGTGGGCCAACCCGCCGCGCTACGAGGCCACGGCCGACGCGGCGCCCGCGCCCGCGCCCGACAAGCGCCCGCCCTAGCCGCAATAAACATCGCATCACGACCTCGCCTCTTTTATTGCTCTTTCCCTTATCTTAGACGAGTTCTAAGGGTTATCAGATGTCACCGTAATACGTTACTATACATGTATAAGTAGAGGGTACATTCGTTCCACCAGAGTTAACAGCGTACCATTGTGTAGGTACCAAATTATATTGTATATAAACGTGTACTGTAGTTATAACAATACACCTAAAAAGAAAAGGTAGGTAGTAGTGATTACCTGCGTGTGCATAGCAACATGTACGTACAGTGTTAACTAGAAATGTAAAACTAAAGGTTTGTATGTTTATATTGTTGTGTAATGGATAAACTCAAATGGTGGTGAGCTATTTTCAAGATTCGTTCAAATCACAGAGCGGTTTAGACTTGGATAAGTTATCTAATAACGACAAACACATTGTTATCTAATAAGTCCATAAGGTGAGTGTAAAGTAATGTAAGGTAATACAATCAAAATAATTTGTTTTAGAAAATCATATTAATGTATTTGTATGTTTACGTTGCACTGTTTCTCGAAGATAGGTCTTGTTTTAAAATATTCGATGGGATTAGATAATCTGTGTTTTAACATCTTGGCGGAGGTACGTTTTGAAGTAAGCTTCAATTCAAGTAAATATTTCCAAAGGTTATGAGGTTTCGCAGTCGCTAGAAGCGCGCACAATGATATTCACCCTTATCCACTAAGAAGTACTTTAACGGATTAAATAATTCCAAATTAAATATATTGCTAATAAGATCACTTAAAAAAAAAAAATATATATATATATATACATATATATTGTACTTCACAAATTTTATTTGGTTTTTTAAGAAACGGTTGTAATCATTAAACGGGTAGATTCTTAAGTTTTTTTAAAATCGAATGCCAAAGAGAAGTACTTAAGTGTTTAAAGCTAGTGTTCTATTTTTATGGACGCCCTGTATAAGTTTTTTTTTTTCGGGATAGTCACAGCTAGAATTATAAAACATAATACATGAATACCCGATGGCTCCTTACCGCAATTACAAATACATGTGTAGCATCAACTTAACGACCACAACGCCAAATTCGTGTCATGTTCTTATGAAAACGCTCACGACGCGTTTCCGAATCACAAAAAGGCCGTGCGTCGTTTTGTATAGTAGGTGGCAAACGATTACCTATTTAGTTATACGACCACAACGCATTGTGGCAATGAATAAAAACCTTCAGTTTAGCAGTCAGAATCGCTTTGAATGTCTAGCTTTATTTAATTGGTCAGCACAACACGAGTATGAGCTATCATGTAAATCGTCTAGCATCCCTCGAATAGCCTTGAATAGTGAGTGCGTTGCCGCTCATTTCGTTACACTAGGGCGGCACGTGTGACTCTTAGTAGCAGGTGTCCACGGGCGACGGCACACACTTAAACTCCCGCTGACCCAACTGCTTGCTTACCTCCCTATGCCATAAAAATAAAATACATATTACGGCTTCTATGGGGTCTGGCATAAGGCGCTTCTCTAAAAGCTCCCTTTCTATGGGCTTCCCAAGAAATTATGTAACTGGGTTACCAGTTTCCTTGCAGACAGACAGACAGAAGCATTAAAGTCGTTGTCGACGGTGCATGCTCCGACTTAAAATTTGTAAGGCTGTGTGCTATCACCCAAACGTTTTCTTCTGCATATCAAGGACATGTTGGCATCCATTGCCATGCGGGTGATAGTATGGGAGATGCCCTTTATACCGCCCCAACATTTTTCGGGAAAACGTTATCGAGACTCGAAACAAACTTGTGTCTGAAGTTGAAACTTCTTTAGCGGAGGTTTCAGATGGGGTTCGATGAAATCTAGTCCATTTTAACCCAAAAAAAAACACAGGTTTGCGCGTTCACTGCAAAGAAGATACCGTTTGTCGTATCACCTCGGTTTGAGAGCACCTCCCTCACTGCCTCATCCAGTTTCGGGATCCTAGGCATCACTTAGGGTAAGGCCAAATTAGCCTCGAAGAAGCTCGGTGTGCTGAACCGATCGAGGCAGTATTTCTTCTTTCTTTCTTCTGCATTCTCTATTGTGTATATATCATGGCGAGCGCCCAGAGAAATTGTTCTGATTAAACTTTCTGCCATCGTTCCACACGTCAAAACTTTAATCCCCATCACTTGGATAATTGGCACTCACGTGCGCTTTTGCCACTGTGCGCTTTACAAAACACTTTTTGCGTCGCACAACCAATCTGTGGCACAAGTTATCGTCTGCTGTATTTCCACATCGATACGACCTTCAAGAAAAGAACGTTCTCCTTCCTAAAAGGTCGGCAACGCGTTTGTGACTCCTGAGTTGTAAAATATTAAAATAAATTAATACATAAGGGGATTAAAATTAAAAATGATCTCTTTATGACACATTTTTTTTTTACTTAATCTCGTGGCAATCGTGAGCCAGTGGGCGTCAGTGGCCGGCTTCACACGGACGCGATTGCGCACAGTGCGGACAAGAGCATGCGAGGCGTACATCCACGAGACGCACTGCGCTCAGCACGCGCGCCACCGGCTCCACCGCTTCGCTCATCGCTGCCGACAAGGGTCGCAGGACCGACCGCACTCCGCGCGCAACGTTGCACGCGAACACGAGCACCGGCTGCACCAGCGCGTTGTATAGCAGCGCCAGCGCCGGCTTGAGCGCGTAGTCCGAGGTCGTCTGCACGGCGCCCGTGACGGCGCCGCGCACTAGCACGAGCGCGGCGCGCTGTACGCTCAGCAGCAGCGCGACCGGCGCGCCGCCCAGCAGCGTGGCCGCGGAGGACAACTCGGCCAGCAGCGCGCGTGCCACGCGCTCCGGCCGCCGAGCCGCTCGCTCGCACCACGTCACGCGCCCGCCGTCGCTTGTCGCCAGGAACGAGCCGGCGCCCTGCTCGAAGTAGTACACCTCCACGCGCTCCGGCTCTGCGTGCATGCCATGCGAAAACGTTACGTTCATAATGAGTGAGGTACTTGCCTCGTGACGGACTCTAGCTACATATGAAGATATGAACTATTACTTTTTAGCGCGTATGGACTATTCGTGAAGTCTATGATACTCGATGGTATACACCGACGAAGCCGCGTGTACGCGCGTGGCTTTGTTCGGGTTGTCTACTGATCTATATTCCTACGTCTGCGTGAGACTCATACGCAATCCTCACTATGTGACCACTGCTTTAATTGCAGCATTAAGCAGAAGAAAGCTAGAGTAGTAAAAGAAGAGTAATCGATCAGCGTGAAGAAGTCTAGTCAGGTTCACATAAATAAGTGACTGCACGAATGGCGTAGTGGTTTAAGCGGTCGCCACGGCGCTAACTATTACGTTGAGCGTTGTGGGTCCGATCCCCACATGGGACGACACTTTGTGTGATTCACAAATTGTTGTTCTGAGTCTGGGTGTTATTTGTGTCCGTTTCATGTATGTTTGTAAACTCTCCGCGACACAGGATTTATTCCTAGTGCGGGAGTAGTCTTTTAAAAAAAAAACAAAAAAAAAACAAGAGATTGTGTAATTATTACGAGATTTAATCCGCAGAGTAAAACGGTTACAACACAAGTGTCTGTCCAAAAACGAATATCAACTGCCAACCCGCATTGCCGTTTTTATTATCTCAAGAACGAATGGGTGAATGTATTTTTTTTTTATCTTAATACCAATGCAAGTTGTCATCATCGAGTCTCGGTATCGAGTCTACGAGTAACTAGTGGACTTAATGTAGTGTAAGTTAACAAGCGGTACTATGACTAAGATAATTATGAAGCTGCGCGTTTGCTGGTCATGCGTTTTATTAACGTTTGTACTTTTCTCTCTCTTTTAGAATCCTTGTAGATTTAATACAATGTTTCTCAGGGCAGTCCTGGTAAAAGATGTAACATTACGAAATATAGATAAACAAAAATTTTAACAAAAAAAAAAAACGACTTCAAAAAACACTATTCCAAAAGACTTACTTCCTTAGCTGACACTGACGCCAAAAATAACAATTATTGTAACTACATTATATTCATTTCATTTTACTTAGGAGAACTCAAATAAATATTTCGATCGTTGTTTGTTATTCATAGATATACATATGTTGAGTTAGATTTGAAGTAGGTAGGTATAGGCACCTACCTACCATCTTGCGTGGTAAACACATAGATCGTACCTACATATAGATGAGTAGAAAAAGTAAGTTGATTATTAAGTTGTAGAAGAATATGCAGTTATTTTTTTACTTTTTAGTGCATAATAAAATTTTTTGGAATAGTGTTTTCTGAAGTCGTTTTTTTTTGGTAAAATTTTTGTTTTTTTTTTTATTTTTAGTGAATCTGAAGTACGACAAAGTCCAATTCGAATAGACTACGACAATTACCTTCGTTACTGTCCCTGTGACGGATTAAGAATACAGAATGTCACCACCCCTTTTCATCCCACGGGTGTCGTAAGAGTCGACTGAGAGAGCAAACTACGCAGGACAACAGCACTGCAAAGAGAAGGAAACCTGAAACAAACCCTATACCAACGCGTTGGCCTGCGTGGTATAGTAGGCCAAAACCTCTTTTCTAAGGAGAGGCCTATGTCCAGCAGTGGACTAGTAATGGCTATTGATGACAACAATTACTTGACTATAACGACATTACTGTAGGTGACTCAAATATCCGGATAGCCTATAAAAGATTCAGCCGAGTATAGTTAATGTGCTCCTAAGAATTGAAGAGTTCCGTTACTTTGTCGTGGATCCCATGATCAGAATCTAACCAAACTCTCATCAAAGTATCCTACTAAGTACATCCATTCCAATAAAAAAAGAATTATCGAAATCGGTTGGCGTGATATTGAGTTATTCGTCTGTTTGTCGCGAACATACTGAATGCAAATTTAAGACATATGGTTTTCTAATGGATGAAATGGGACCAGACGGGAAGCACCAGCTTTCAAATAAAAAAAGAATCATCAAAATCGGTTCACCTAGTCAAAAGTTCTGAGGTAACAAACAATAAAAAAAAAAGTCGGATTGAGAACCTCCTCCTATTTTTTGAAGTCGGTTAATAAGAAGTTTAAATTAGCTTCACTGCAAAATGCATTTTTGTACACTAGTGAAAGATCCACTAAACAGTGCGGTGCGCTGCTCACCGTCACAGCGGACAATACATGCTACTTACCATTATCGTACAAGTCGCTGTTGATGCCGCGGAATATCTTCCAGGGATTATTTTTTTTCTGCAAAAGGGTAAGTTGAAATTAGAGTACAATAAATAGTTTTATTACTCGGATTTTTTATGGAAGATGGGGCAAACGAGCCGACGGGTCACCTGATGGAAAGTATCTTCCGCTGCCCAAGAACGCCTGCAAATCAGGAGTCACAAGCGCGTTGCCGGCCTTTTAGGAACGAGAACGCTTTTTATGCAAGTCATGCAACGTTGTCCACTGTTAACTCGCTGTGATTTGCTGTCGACACGTTGTTAGGTGGTGGTTATACTCAGGTGATTGTTACAACAAACATTCTGTTCATTTTGGTTTCCGTAATCAATCAATCAACCAAAGTCGGAAATGACTGAAGAAGGGTCGAAAACTGGCGTGGAACCTCAGGATTATCGTCCACCGTCACCGGTGTGACGATACTTACACGATCAGACACAGACGATAATTCCCTCCGACATATAAGAAAAAAAAATAAGTTATAAAAAAAAGAGTTAGAATAAATTTCGGCAATTTTCATAAGAAATCTTAAATGCCTAAAATCTTGAAAATGGCTAGGTCTTGGATATGGTATTTGATAGTGAAACCTTTTCGTAATAATGGATACAACAACTTCCTAAGGTATCTAGGTCGACTTACCCAGTAACCCTGTATATACATTTATCTAAAGTAAATGTATTTCTAAAGTAATAATATGGGTAATGTACTGAAAGTTACAAAATGAAGACGTTAGGCCCGCCGGAATCGTCGGCCATCAACTCGCGAGGCGCTTATCAGTGTACAATCATTTGAGCGGTTGACTCTTATCAGAAATTAAACGCACCATTTTATTTTCGCGTCTGATCAATGGCCTAGAATTGGCCAAGATTGATCAGAGTGGTGTGATGACTGATGCCAGTAGTGCCTAGCACCTACTTTAAAATAAAAAATATATAATAAAAAGAATATATAAAATATATAAAAAATATATAAAAAAAGAAAATATTAAATTGTGTTCTGAGCAGAAGTAAAGGAGTGACCAAATTATCAGATCAATCTATCAACATGCTAAGGGTAAGGATTGATTACTTTGATCAACGAACTAAAAGCAGGGTAAGTTAAATAGAACCGTTTAAAAAATCTTTAAGGAGTACATAATTTTGAAATAAACGTAATGGCGAATGTTTTAATATGACGCACAAACTTACTTTTGTAGTCAAACGCATGGATTTAGTAAAGACTAGAAACTACTGCGTGTCGAGTGGTACCGTAAAATTATAACAAAGGTTGAAAGTTGTGAAAACACGGAGGAGGTTCCTTCTCATTTCAATTATGACCACGCATTACTTTTTACAGAGTAGTCCGATTATGATAATTCTTTTTTTATTGGAAAGGGTTACATCGAATTTGGTCCCATATAAATTTGGAAAAAAAAACCTACCCTAACGGTGGGAAAATAGGGTTGATTTATTGTGCACTCACAGAGTTTAATGCTGAGTTGTGTATTACAAATGTTTGTTTAAGTTTAAGAACTAAGTTATTAATGTTAATTAAACTCAAAATAATTACAATATATATACTTAGGTTAAATAAAAAAGCTTTATTATTTCTCGCTTTTAAGTTTTTTCTGCGGTTTTTTGTGAAATACTTTTCATTTTTTACTATGTAAAGATAAGTCATTTTTAGCTGGCCGTAGGACATACTGAGAACACTATTACCTGTTCTCAGCGGGTACGAGTATGTCCTACGGCTACCTGAAAAATAATTTAGTTGAGTAGTTTACCTGCACGCCGTGTTCTCCATGTTGGATGTCACCGGCGCCCGCGCCCGCACCATCGCGAGGCGCCAGCGAGCACGAGCTGCGCGCGCACGTCGCCACGTCCACTAACGCGCCCCGCCTAAAACAATGCATGAATATAGTACTGTTGCGGTCGTAAGTCCCACTCTTACCTAGTTATAGCATTAACCAGCTGGACTTATGACCTTCTATTAACGTATGTCACACACACATACACCACATTAGACAACTAATTTCGACTGTGTCAGGCGCTGCAGTGGACGCTGAGCCAAATGATTTATACCTTTTTTCTTCCTGTCATGTCAATAAATATATCCTGTCATGAAATCAAAAAGAAAAATAATATGCGTTCGGGACGCCCGAGAGAAGTGATAACTTAAACTAATCTAAGTTGAACTATTTAATATTGAATTTGTTTAACTTGAGAAAAGCTTATGTATTATTACTTGAATTTTTTGTAAAGCGTCTGTCCGAAATACGGCTAGAGCAGTGGGTTAGAGTGAGAGAGGATAAGTCTGTCTACTGCTTCCGTATGCGTGAGAGAACGTAAGCCAGACAGACTGGCGCCGTTACGCGTTACGTAACGAAGCGGTTTACCCTCCAAGAAGTTATCATTTAAAAAAGTCAGCAGGCACTGAGGCGCGATCGTCACCACTCGTGATCAGTGATCGTATGTACAATGTATAAGTAGGTGTATTTTATCTAGTGTTGTGCACTGACCAACCACCATCATGCTTTCGTACACGTCAGTAATGTCTGGTTATAGTGTGTATGTATTGAAACATCACACACACGGAGATAGCTACAGAAACGGCGCATGAGAAATTTATTATTAACTACAGTGACCCGCATTTATGACCGTTTGAATGTACATCCTGAAACGAAAGAGATATTAATACCACAATTGTCTTTAAAGTTTGTTTGTTTGGCCTTTCTTCTCATAAGGCCAAACCTCTTAGAAACGGACGGTTGTAGATTGGCACAGGTATATAATGGATTAATAACAACAGTTCCCGGATCCCTAGGAGGGATTACAGGCGCAGAGTGGCACACCGTGTGGTTTTAGTCGGTCCGATTCCGACACACCACCCCGCCGCAAACCCCGGTGGGGTGACGGCCCGAGGGGGTTTCCACACGTAAAAAAAAACAAAAAAAAAGGTATATAATGGATCTTTTGCTAATTATTTAACAAAACAGATTGTTGCTATTTGACGGGCCTATTGGTCTAGTGGTTAGTGGCCCGACTGCTAAGCCGGAGGTCGTGGGTTCGATTCCCACCCAGGATAAATATTCTGTGATGAGCACGGTCATTTGTTCTGTGTCTGGGTGTAATTTATCTATAATACGTATGTATTTAAAAATATAAAAGTATGTTCATCAGGAGTCTGGTTACCATAGTACAGACGGCCGTGTGTGAGATGTGTGAAGTTATCATTATTATAATTAGTTATTATTATTATGTATGTTGATCTATGTCTTTAGAGAGACGATTTCAAAATTTTTTTTTTTAAGAAATTAAGATATTTTGAGTTTAAGTTTGAAAAGACTCGTTGACGTAGCTTTCGTTGTGTATGAGTTGAAAGACGACAAGTAGGGACCCACGTGTTGTAGTTATGGGCGTTTAGCGCGCGGCACAGCGGTGAGGCAGTCGGACACGCCAGCAGCACCGAGTGCGGCAGCACGTACACGCCACGGTCACCGCCACCGCTCACCTGCACAGACGAGCACCACGCAAACGTTATTACAAACTACCTATGGGAGTTCGTAGGCACATCCGTAGGATACGCTCAGATTTATTGCCTTAAAATCACGACTATATAACAAAGAACAGAAAAACAAGAAAAGTTAAACAAAGTAAAAATAAAAGCTTTGTTTTAATTTTCAAAAGTGTTTGTCTAAAAATATATAAATATGTATGTACGGAGATCGGCGATCGGCCACTGCAGAGGTAGATCAAGTACTTTATATTGGCGTCGGGCGGGTGCAATGTAGATAAAGGGTGCCTCAGTAAGAGTGCACTTTTTTAATAACAATGGCGTCATTACAAAAAAAAAATTGGAATCAAATTGCATCGTCTTGTAGTGAAAAAATATTAGGTCCTTACATATGAAATTCACGTTTTGTATGGGTGGACTTTAAAGTATTTTTTTTTTGTAAAATATATTTAATTAATCAAAGTTGTTGTCTATGCACTTTTGCCATCTCATAGGTAGTTCATTGATCGCTTTACTAAAAAAACATGGGGGCGAGAATCAATAAAGTCTTTGAAACTAAGTGTATACGTTTCACTATGCCAAACGTCAAGCCAGTGAAAACTACTGTGATAATTAAGGATGTCGGGCTGGACCTTGTGGACACTACGACATTTTTAGGTATAACACTAGATGCTAAGCTACAGTGGGGCCCACATATTGATAAATTGTCGAGTAGACTCAGCTCAGCAGCATACGCAGTAAGGAAAATCCGAGAGTTGACTGATGTTGATACAGCACGACTTGTTTACTTCAGTTACTTTCATAGCATAATGTCGTACGGTATTCTGCTGTGGGGGAATGCTGCCGACATTCAAACCATTTTTGTGCTGCAAAAGAGAGCTATTCGAGCACTTAATAATTTAGGCAATCGTTGTTCATTGAGGCAGAAATTTAAAGAAATAAATATAATGACAGTGGCAAGTCAATATATTTATGAAAATGTAATATATGTTCACAAAAATAAAGATAGCTTTTTGAAAAAAAGTGATGTACATGCCATAAATACCAGAAATAAAAATAAATTTGTTGTACCCGCCTCTAGGCTCCAAAAGATAAACAAGTCTTTTCGAGGTCAATGTGTCCGATTTTATAATAAAATCCCAAATAATATTCAGGAGTTGAGTATTAACAAATTTAAATCCGCAATAAAACGTGGCTTGTGCCAGAGGGCCTACTACTCGATTGTGGATTACATGGAGGACAAGAATGCTTGGGATTAATTAGCGCAGGCTATTTCTTTCTTAAGTAAAAATGTGGTGTGGCTAGTATGTTTTTTATTATTTTTTCTATTTTTTATGTTTCACTTTATTTTCTCTTGTATTCGTTTGTTCTTCTTAATCTTGTTTTCTCTTCGTTGTTTTTTCACCTTTAAGTCCTTAATAACGGACATACTAGCACACATCAAAACAATGTTGTGATATATTTAATAGTGCCATTGTATCTACTTGTGAATTGCAAAAGAGTGGCCATGAGTTTGTTTGCCCTTTCTTCTCATAAGGCTCAACCCCTTGGAAATGGGCGGTTGTAGATCGGCACAGGCATATCATAGATTTTGTATGGGTTTGTTTTTGTTAAATTTATTTGGTTACTATTTGACAAAACAGAGATTGTTGCTTTTGTGTGTGTTGATCTATGACTTTAGAGTCTACATGGAAGACGATTTCAAACAATTTTGAAAATTTTATGAAATAAAGAAAGTTTGAGTTGAGTTGAGTTGAAGGTGGTTTAGACTGCCGCATCGGAGTTGAATTTTTTTCCTTGTAAGAAGTTGTCCAGATGCCGGAAAAAATGGTAATCTGTTGGAGCAAGGTCCGGGGAGTACGGTGCATGTCGCAGACATTCCAATTGTAGCTCATCTAACTTAGTGGTTGTTTGTTGTGCAGTGTGTGGTCTTGCGTTGTTGTGAAGCAGCAGTTGCCTAGAGCGATTGACCAATCTCGTTTGTTTAGCAGCTAGTTCTTCCTTCGTGGTTTGCAGTTGCTGACAATAGATATCTGCCGTAATCGTTTGGCCAGATTTTAGAAAGCTGTAGTAAACGACACCGGCGCTAGTCCACCAAACACTCACAAGTAACTTTTTCTGAGTCAATTTTCGTTTAGGACAGGATTTGGGTGGGTCTCCAGGATTCAGCCATTGCGACGAGCGCTTCCGATTATCGTACAGTATCCACTTTTCATCACAAGTAATGATTCGATTTAAAATCCCTTTATTATTGTGTCGGTTTAGCAAAGTAACACAGCAGTCGATGCGTGTTTGCAAGTTCGATTCACTCAATTCATGAGGTACCCATCGTGCAAGTTTTTTTACCTCCCTGATTTGCTTCAAGTGGATTAATACAGTCTTATTACTTACCCCGAAGCCTGCAGCTATCTCTGAAGTACTTTGTGATGGATCCGTTTATACAATAGCCTTTAATTATTCATTTTCCACGGTAATAAGCGACGCCTCTCACCAGAGCCGTGGGGGCCATTTGCCGAATATTTAATTCCATACTTAATAGGAACATGTCTTCTTTATAATCCAATAAAAAATATCACAAGTATTTCATAAAATAATATATGTATTTTTATTTTAAAATGAATAAAATGCACTCTTACTGAGACACCCTTTACTACTAATGTGGTGTCAGTGTAGAGTAATTTATTTTACCATTAAAGAAGAATCTTCTAACATTAAATGTTGACAAGACTAAATATGTATATACACTTTTCCATGCGCAAAAATCAAAATGCTGTAACACTTCCACACATTCTTGTCACTGACTGTGTAATTGTCCTACCATCCAGGAAACCCATAACATAAAATATCTAGGGATCATACTCGACACTGCCCTCTCCTGTATAAAACACATTGAAAGTGTAGTAAATAGAGCTCGTAAATTAATATATGTATTTAAAAAATTGCGAGCTATAACTGATTTAAAGTTGATCGCTTAAGTGTTTTTATGTTTATGTCAATCAATCATCCAATATTGTATAACTTCATGAGGTAGAGCACTAAAAACTATTATACTGGCTCTAGAAAGAGCTCAAAGAGCGACTCTAAAAGTAGCCACCTTCCCTACTCACCACAACTACATTATATAAATCAATCAAGGTGATGACTGTCCGTAAAATTTTTGTATATCACACAGTTTTAACTCATCATACATTGCTTAGCTATCACGCTGATATTTCTAACAAACAACGAAATGATAATATATAAGGTCTGTGCCTCACAATCAGGCTCAAAATTCATTTATTCAAATAGATTCCATTTTAGGTCCATTTCTATATAGTAGTCTACTATATATAGAGAGCTAGGTATTTAAAAAATAAAGTAAATTAAACAGTATATGTAAATACACTAAATCATTATTTACAAATTTTGTCGTTTGAACAAACTAAGCAGTAAATATGTAAGATGGCCGCTGCCACCCAGGACAGACGTACCGCCCGACGCGGCGACATCTGCTTTGGCCCCGCGTTTTAAATCTCTGATATCTACTAAGATATTCATTTTAATGATATGCTGTAAACGGAAATTTTGATCTTCACCCACATTATTTTGATGTATCTCGTTAGGTTTAGCCAGCGTTTGCTACTTTTTTTATGATTTCACATTAAAAATATTTGAAATTCTTGGAATTCCTTTTTATATAATCCCGCCGCATGAGCCACTCTCTCTATTAGTGAAAACCGCATTAAATTCCGTTGCGTAGTTTGAAAAATCTAAGCGTACAAGAAAAAAACTCACTTTAAAAATACAAATGCAAATATTTCGATAATATATTTGTATTTTCAAAATGAGCTTGTTGAAAGATAAATTTATCAATTTGTTTTCTCGTTGATATTTTTCCTGTGGTGAATAAGACGTGAAATGGTGAAATGAGCTAAAAGACTATATATAGCGAATAACCTGTGGAGGGTGAACGCGCGCGAGGGGGCTAGACGCACTCGGCAATCGCGGCGAGGTCTGCGCCGGGCGCGCTCTTACCTCACGTCGCCGCCGGTGCTTCTCCACCACCACCTGCAATGCCAATCATGTTGTGTATAGACTCTTCCTACACGGGTTACGCTCTACTTGGACCTTTGTTAAGGGATTAACGGTTCTTTATCAGTAAGAGATATGCTTTAAGCCCTGCTCGGTACTGTTAGTAACGGTCACGTTTTTGCTTCTTAGTGTTCGCGAATATACGATTACGTAAAAAAATACAGTTGCCCGTTGACTGGGTTTTACTAACGATAATCGAATCACTTAAATTATGTTGGTTTTACTTTTGTGAATACGGGCGTAATAGTACGTGTTTAAAGAATCTTTACCCGTTTGTTCTAGATTTGGCTATTCTTGATCTCATAGTGACTAATACATAATTATGTATTTATACATAAAAAGAAATAATACAAAATTCTGTATTCACTACAAAGAATGGACGCTTTAGTTTACCTGCAAGTACGAGGCAGTGTCGTCAGGTGCGGAAGCTGCGAAGGTTGGCGGTGGCGCTGGCGCCTCGCTCGACGGCTCGCGATCTGCGCTACTGTCCGCACGGAAATTACTCGAATGCGACGTCGTCAGATCTGTGCCGCACCAAATCATCCTTTAGCCGACAATTCAAGCCAATTCTGCTCGACATAAACGGGCTCGGCTCGAGCGGCGTGACACCGCAGCCTCACGTGTTAAGCAGATCTTTCGTTGCTTTACATCGAGTGAGGAACTTGTTCGTGGTGTTGAGCGAGTACAAAAACCACGCCTATAAGAGCTGTATTCCAGGCGCCGTTTGCGCCCGCTTCGATATCAAATACCTAATAGGCTGATTTACATGCTATAGATATATATCATTTATATCGCCTAAAGCAGTATCGGGTGCTAAGGATCTTACCTAACTGCGGGTTGGCTAATTCAACATCTTTAGCTTCAACTCCTCTGTGCGAAGTGCAGTTTGTATAATTGGAGACGTATTTCTTAGGCGACTGGGTCATCATACACGGTGAGCTGCGACCAGATAGGTATAGCTTTACTAATATACAGTTCCAAAGTAGGCAGACAGACTTAGGCGGCTAGCAATAATAATAAATGTACCTATGGTAAACAATTAACAGGAAATGACAGACATTGACAGATGACTATCTGTCAATTTCACGCTATGTACAGACCTATTTGTAATGCATTTAAAGTAAATCTATTGAGGAGTACGTTTTCTACCTTGTGCACCTTCTTGTTATTTATTTTAACTATATTACGAGTACTAATATTTACACACAGGAGGTTTACACCTTTATACATTAAACTGCCTTGGACACTATCGGATGGTTTACACGGATGGTTTATAAATTGTCTGTATAAGTACCGATTTATACTCGGCAATTTATCTTATATCTAACTTAAATCTATGCTCCTTTTCCTATTTACCAGATAGCTTATATTAGAATAATTATATACACTATAATTATCTAAAATATATTCCTTAACTTTAGTCTTATTTTTAGCAACATATTTACAATATTTAAATTCAATTTTTAAGAAACATATACGTTTTTTGGGAAACATAAACCCATAAAGCAGTCCATGCATTCGGGGTTGTGTCGTCACTGCGTCCGCCGGGTCGCCCTCAGCAATACGCCACGGATGAGCGGGCGATGCCATCCCACTTCCTCCTGACGGGACAGTCGTCGCTAAATACGTTATGTTCGACCTGGCCGAACTTTGCCCGACGACAGTTCCGGCAGGAGGGCGACAGCCCCGCCAGTACATCCGGGCACTTAGACTTGAGGTGCGGCCCGCCACAGTGGCTGCAAAGGTTGATCTCCTCTTTACAGAATCGCGTGCATTGGACAGTGGAGACTGGTCCTCTGCTCGCACCCTCTGCAGGTCGATGTGGACCGAGCCCACACCGGTTATCCTCGCCCAGAGGGTGGGCGACGCACTGAGGACAACATGGGCCACGTGCGGATTTCTCGCCTTCCTGCGGTACTTTACCTGTAAACGGTCTTCCCCGGGGTCGAGGCCGTCAAAAAGGTTCCTGTTTTGGTTCCTCAGAGCCCTGACGACATCCTCATCGGTATTTACCGTCAGGACTCCTGTGAGGACCAGTATTGGGTCCCTATTCTTGACGTCCTCGACCACGAGGCCCGTTCCTTTCCTTGACAGCCTCTCCTTTACCTTTCTCCTGTCCTCCACAGTCCCGAATCCTATTATAATCTTCTGGTCCTTGGCCTTCTGGACCCGGTCGACCTTGACCCACCCCTCTTTAGCGTCGACGGTCCTTCTCACTCTATTGAGGACCTCGTCCGCCGTCTCCTGATTATCTTAGGAGGTGACGACCACCGAATGTAAGGCAGAGTGGGTTACCGCGGGCCTCAGCGGTTGCATTAATTTATGCGGAGTCGAGGCGGCCACGGTGGCGTGACTCCGACGCTGCTCCTCAATAGCCTGGGTGCACTTTGCCATCTCCTCCTGGAGGGCCTTCATCCCCTCCTTGTGCTCCAGGAGGAGACGGGAGTGCTCCTCGAGAATTTTGCTCGGTCCGGAGTCCGGGGGAACCGCCAACGAGGCGCCGGTGTTTATGTTCAACGGCACCCCATCCCCGGCTCCCCCGCTCCCCTTTCGACCTTTTTCGGCCTCTCAGTCACCCACCAGTTTCTTGAGTTTGCCCAGAACATCTATGAGGGTCTCCTTCACCTCCGTTTTTAAATTTTTGGATTGGCTGAGGGCCATTTTTGCCCTCATAACCAGTGCAGCCGCCTCTTGCGTTTTTGTCTTTTTATTTGCGGTGGTGGTCGTCACTGTGCTTGCGTGCGCACGCACTTCCACCCCCTCCTTTGGGCTGTCTGTGGGCTTTTTGGTAATTGGCCCTTTTGATCTGGAGGTGGTCGGAGCGCCCTGTGTCCCCACCGTAGTAGAGGCACTGGCGGTCGACTCCCACTTCTCCAGACTATGCCTACTCAGCCTTGCGGGCTGTTTAGGGGGGGGGGGAGGTCTGTCTCGTCCTGACGCTTAGTGGGCGTCCGGGTAGTGGCCATTTTTATTGTGGTGAGGTCGCGTCAAAAGTCAACTTAAAACTAAATCCTATTATAAAATAAAATATAAACTAAAATAAGTAGCGAATACGCTCCGTTAGGTTCCCTGCGCGGCAGGGATGTCTAAACTAGGGGATGTAAAACGTCCCTGTCCTAAAACTAACTAAAATAAACTAAAACTAACTAAAATTAAACAAAAAATTTATTATAAAAATATTTTTCTCCCCTGCTTTTATCCAATTGTTTGGCTCCCCTGCCGCAGAGTTTACCACCTTAAGCACTCTTAGGAGGGCGGGCGGGCAATTTTTTAATTTTCTATCTATCGGATTTTAATAAATGAGGTGTCGTGTGATAGGGCTAGACGAGCCCTATCCAAATATGTAATAATTTTGAATATAAGTTGAGGGGTTGCCAAATTATTAGCGAAAAACTTGAAAAATTTACAATTTTAGTGCCCAAAAATTATCTTTCGCAGGTGTTAGGACTCCGACGGGAAGCCGGAGTGTCTTCAAACGGTGGTGGTATGCAGCAGAGGTGTCGACGCAGCGATATTAAAAGCTTCAACCAATAAACGACCCGGAACACAAGAGGTAGGTGGCCCTTAAGGATACGTTTCGTAGCTTTTTTACAGAATTACGATGAAAAATGAAAAAATTAGGAAAATCTATACAGCGAATCCCCGAAAACGAGGTGTCCGCGTACAGGTGACGCCGTTGCCGAATTTTAGAGACCAGAAAGATCAAGATATGTCAATAAACAAGAGAGATATGTAATTTATTATTAAAGTAAACAAACGAAACATTTTCTAAGTCAATATATAGGCGTCAATATATAGGTTATGTCAAATTCCCAATATATTATTAGCCAAAACAGTATATAATTGCTACTGGTGTGTTAATAAAACGCTTTGGTGAAGGTCCAAAGTCAATTTTAGGCAAAAAGCTATAGGGGTTAGGTTAGGTTAGGTTAGGTTCGCTGCGGTCAACCCGGGCACAAGGCGGCAGAGTGCTCTGCCGCCCCCCACTGCCCGGTGTGTGAGGCGGGCAAAAAGCCCGCCAATCACATGATGGGGCAGGGGGGCTGCAAGCCTCCCCGCGCTTCTCGGCAAACGCCGGGGGCTAGCCTGCCGACCCAGGCTACCCCCGACGTCAATATTGCGTCGACGTCGACGCCCATGGAGGAGGTTGTAGAGACGATCCAGTAATGGATCAAGTCTCCAACCTCCTGGTCCAGACGAATCTGAACCACTGTGCTGCGGCGCAGGATCTCTTCCTGCAAACCATGGCACAGTGGTCGATAGGTGTTGCCGTAGTCGCGGAGCCCTATTTTGTCCCTCCCCGTCCAAACTGGATGGGTGACCGGGACGGCTCCGTGGCAGTCGTCGGCTCCACGGCGGCTCATTCCCCGCCCTTGTCGCTAAGAGACAAGGGTACTGGATATGTTGCCGCCGATTGGGGGGGAATCACCATTTATGGTTTTTCCCCGGGGCTTGGGCTTCCAAAACCC